AGCTGGGGGTGGGGTTGGGTAGGAGGGTGGAGCTGGGTAATCCCCAGCGCCCTTGGGGCCTTGCACCAGGAGAGGTGTCCAGTCCCCACATAAGCTTGGGAGATTCACTGCACCCCCTGAAAAACCAACCAACAAACCAACCAACAACCCAGGATTCTTCACCTACCCCAGACCACCAGATATTTAAACCAGGCTGTGTCAGGGTACATAACCACAAAGATGCTCAGGACTTGGGAGGGAGCAGGGGCCTTCCCTGGCCTTTCCTACCTGACCACTTGCCCATGTCTCCATAGCATCAACAACCCAGAAGCCCTTGGAAGCCTGACCCAGCAGGTTTTCTGGAAGCTTCTAGGTAGGCCTGATTGACTAATCTATTGGCCAATGGTGAGTCCTAACATCCTCCCTGGGATGTCAGGGTGAGGGACAGACAGGCCCTAATCACAGGGTCCCAAATAGCTCCAAGTGTAGGTGGTCGGGAAGTTGCCTTGTTAAGGGGGGTGGGGCGGGGGGAGGGCTGCTGAGAACTAGCAGACATGCCCGGGCTGGCTTCACCTTTGGGTGTCTAAAGCCATTTCAGAAACTCTGAACAAGAAACCAAATAGTGGGGCTGGAGCACTAGTACAGTGGGGAGGGCGTTTGCCTTGCAAACGGACAACCCAAGTTCAATCCCCAGCATTCCATGTGGACCCTGAGCACTGTCAGGAGTAATTTCTGAGTGCAGAGGCTGGAGTGCCCACCCAATCAGCCCTCTCCCCCAAATAAAATCTCAAACAACTCACTGAATAACTTGATCCCCCTGCAGAGCTGGGAATGGTTTTTCTTCAGATTGCTACTTGGATATTTAACTCCAGGACAAGCGTTCATTAGATCAGATGCAGAAACTGCCTTTAAACCCAAAGTGATGGAGCTGGAGAGACTGGACAGCGGGGAAGACACCTGACTTGCAAGCATCCAACCCCATATGATTCCCTAGATCGCCAGGAGTGATCCCTGAGCACAAAGCCAGGAGTCAGTCCTCAGCACGCCCAAGCGTGGTTCCCGCTCAAAAAAAAAAAAATACAAAGTAAGTCTTGTCCTTAGGCCCCTGCTCTCCCTTGAACACGATCTTGTTCTCTTGTCTCTGTTTCTTTGCTTGCTTATTTCCACCTAGAGAAACCTGTGTTCTCTTCTGAACGCATGCGTTTTGCTCAATACAAACTACCCTGATTTACTAAAAATAAAAACAAAGGGGAGTGGAAGTCTTAGAGCAGAGAATCTGCTGAAAACAAACAAACAAACCAACAAACAAACCTGCTCCTTTTGTTGTGGTTATGGGGGGGGGGGGGGGCGGGGGCGCGACACACCCAGTGGAGGTGCTCAGGGCTTGTCCCTGGCTCTGAGCTCAGGGAAACATGTTGGGCAGGTTTTGGGAATCCATATGCAGTGCTGGGGACCAAACCCAGGTTGGCTTCCTGCAAGGGAAGTGCCTTATTCTCTGTACTATCGCTCCGTCCCTTCTCACTGTTCATCGTTAAAGTCTGTGCATCAACACGCACCACTGTGCGGGCCTATGGGGCATCTCCAATGCCCTGATCCCCTTAAACGCAGGATGACGGAAGCCAGAGTTGTGACGACGGAAAATATGGCACCGGAAACAGAGTAGAGGAGCTGTCACACAAACACCCCCACTTGGGTCTTTTTTTTAAAAAAAAAATTTCATTTTTGGGAAAATATTTCAAGCATGACTAGAGTTTTAAGAAAACCCTGGGAATCCAGTAGGTAGGTAAGCCAGGTACAGTGAAGCCCCGAGCCCGTCGCTGGGAAGACGAAAAGCAAACTGGGCCCAAGGCAGATGAATAGCCTCAAGGGCAGACTCTGACACATATCCCCGGCCCCCCCACCACCTAGTTCCACCTCGAGCATGGCTGTGCCCAACATTAATGTCGCAGCATGCCACCACCTCCCTCCTATCCCCAACCCTGGCACAAGAAGGATGGAAACAAAACTGAGTCCATTTGCAAATCAGGCCTTTTTGATGGCTTTTCAAAACTATCAGGAGAGGAGCTGGAGTGATAGGGAGAGCGTTTGCCTTGCATACGGCCGACCCAGGTTCGATTCCTATCATCCCATATGGTCCTCCACCAGGAGTAATTCCTGAGTGCAGAGCCAGGAGTAACCCCTGTGTATCGCCGGCTGTGACCCAAAAAGAAGAAGAAAAAAAATCTACCAGGAGAGTAGCATTCAAGCGCTATTTTCAAACCACAGGAAGACTTTCCAAACAGGTCCCATCTCAGCCTCGCCCATTCCCTTCCTGCCCTTCCACACATGAATGTCTCCTCTGTGTTTCTCCTGCTCAGACTCAGAGTCACGGAATCCCAATGCTGGTCCAAGGGCGGAGGCTGGTCCCTAAGCACAGCCGCCTTCCAGAGAACCGAAAGGCCAGCTGAGGGGGGGTGCCCAGAGCAGGAGCAAGTGACTCTGCTTTCCTTTTTCTCAGCACCCTTAACCCAAATTTACTTCTCCCCTATGTCTCACATACTGGGTATCTCCAAAATAATTTTTAAGTAAAAGTTTTCCACTTTGGGCTGGAACGATAGTACAGCAGTTAGGACATTTGCCTTGCATGTAGCTGATCCGGGTTCAATCCCCAGCATCCCATATGGTCCCCGGAGCACCACCAGGAGTAATTCCTGAATGCAGAGCCAGGAGTAAACCATGAGCATCGCTGGGTGTGACCCAAAAAGAAAAAAAAATATTTTCTACCTTTGCTTAACAATAATGAAATTATACCCTTATTTTTCTTCTAAGGGCAAATACAAAGATCTTTCTACCTTGAAGGACTAGACCTCCAGCCTACCCAGTGACTGCAAACAAAGAGAAGAAAAAACAACTGGTGTCTATTCCTCCCTCCCCCTCCCCTCACACACTCACATATACACAATCTTCTTCCCCATCTTTGCTCTCCTAAATTCGATTAAGGATGAAGACAAACACATCATGGTTGCCACATTGAACACTTGTACATTTTATTGAATTAAATCAGCCATTGTACACATTGCAGCTATGTATTGTTAGTGTTGTATTTTTTTTTCCATTAACTAATACATGCCCTCATAGATATATTCAATTAGTGTCATCACCATGGGAACAAGATGCTGATTCATCAACTGAAAATTCACTTCTTCTCACAGGATTCAAGTGGTTCTGATTACACAGCAAAAAAAAAAAATCGAAATCGAGAAGATAAAACAAAACTCCAAAAAAAAAAAAGTGAATAACCCTTAGGGCGGTTACACAGACGTCATGTGCACTGCAAGTAACACAACGGGAAGGCTTCTCTTGAGCCCTAGGGAGGGGAACGGGGAGGCCGTGATGCATCTGGAAGGTTCTCCATCAGCTGCTCTCCTGTTTGGCTGCCGAGGAACGCTCGCTTTCTGGGCCAGCTGCCCCGAGACGAGGCTGGTGGGAAACAGCCAGCCCAGGACGTGTGGCCCTCGGCAACATTCCTCCAAGTGACGAAGTGCATTGTCTGCTGCCTTTGCGTTCCAGGAGGGGAGCAAACTCATGTCTGCACGGCCGGGAGGTCCAGGTGGAACTGGCATTACTCAGTTCCGCTTCTGGAGGGGAGAGAGACTTTGCTGCCGGTGCTGCTCTGGTTGTACTGTGTGCGTGCGTGTGTGTGTGTGTGTGTGTGTGCGCGCGCGCGTGTGTATGTGCACACACATGTGTGTGCGTGTGTGTCTCTTTAATTTCATCTTTGTTGAATATACTTTTCTATAACAAATAACTGATTCAAAACGTATACTGTTTATATGAATATATTTGTGAATATATATATATGTTAAAATGCTACACAGCTTTGACCACTTGAGGGATGAGGGGGGAACGTGGAAATCACTCGGATGAAGGCAAGCCCCTGTTTGGGGGACCCTGCCGGGTGGGGGGCGTGGGGGGGCGGGGTGGGGTGTACAAACGCACGGTTTCCAAAGGGGGTGTGGGTTTCAAATAAATAAAACTCAAAATTTTAACCCAAACCCAAATGTGAGAGGATTTCTCAACCTGGCCTGTCAGCTAAAAACACAGACCTCGTCGAAAAGTGAAAAAGTGCTTGCTCGGGGTTTAAAAAAAGAAAGAAAAGAAAGCTGTTCGTAGGCTCCGAAGAGGGGTCTGACGGCGGGTTTTCAATGCTCCATGCAGGTTATTCAAGAAGATGTCGACCGGAAGGAGAAACAAAATGAAAAAAGAAAAACCCATCCAGGAGGGTGGGAAGGAACCTTGTGAGTCAGGGCGGGGAGGGTCCACCTTGTTCTCAATGAATTATCTACAGTGCAGTGGCCAGAGGAAAGTACCACCAATAAGACAGCGTGGTTTGCTAAAGCAGCAATGAAAAGTGGGAAACTACAGTAGTTATAGCTTTTTAAAAATACCCTGCCAACAAGTCCAAACCGACAAGCCCTGAAGGTGCTCGGATGCCACGGGAGGCAGCCGGCGGCCACTGAACATCTCCCTGCCTCCTTCCTCCCCGGGGCCCCCTCTCCCCTTCCGCTGCCCACAGACGATCTGTGGGAGCATGAGGAGTCCGACGGGTCAGCACCAGCGGGAGCCCGGCCTCAGCGGCGGGGGTCGGGGTCAGCCCGGCAGGAACCAGGAGCACCGGCTGCTCTCCAAGTTTGAAGGACTTGATAGGTCTGAAGTGCTTCCCTTGCAGCAGCCCTGGATTCGCGTGCGATTGTGTTAGCAATAACGTTCGTGAACTGCCCCGGGGCTGTCTCCAGAGGCCGGCCAGACCGGGATGCCCAGCGCCAGGAGGGTTGGCAGTGGTTCAGACTCCAACCGGGGAGCGGGGTGGGGATCGTCTGAGCATTTTCCTTATGTACAATGGTCCGTGGAGGCCCCTGCGGGGGTCCCGGTGGGGATCACCCCTCCAAGCGGTCTGTGGGAACTCTTCTTCCCATCACTGGCTTTCTGGGAGGACGAACGAGGCCGGCGCAGAAGCGTTGAACAACTGGAGTGGGGGGCGTGGGGGGCGGGGCGCAGAGTTCCCAGGTCAGCACAGAAGACAGAATCGTGGGGATGACGGGCACCCGGCATCGTGAAGGATGCTCTCTTTGGTCACAAATTAGCTTACAGTTAAAAAGGACCGGGCTGGAGCAGTGGGGGGAGGGAGAACTGAAACCCAGTGCGGTGTTGGCTAGCGGGGCGCTGGTGGGTACCCGGTGGGCGAGGCCGGCCTGGCGGGGGCTCCTGGGAGGAAGGAAGGGGCAGTTGCATATCGAGTGAACGAACGTGGTTTCCAGGGGGAGAACGGGGCAGCCCCCTCAGTGGGCCCCGGGCTCCGAGTCCTCGGGGCCGAAATGCCGGAGGAGTCGCTGGAGGTCGCGCTGGAGGTCGTCCTGCGCCAGGGCTTCGGGGACGTCTTCCAGGCGCTCCAGGTAAACGCGCTGGCCGTGCTGGTCCTTCACCACGGCCCTCTTTTGGATGCTGGCCTTACTCATGGTGGTCCTGAGGGAGAGCAGGGTGGAAAGAGTTAGGGGCCCACACAAGGCTGCAGGGGCAGGGTGGGCGGTGTGGGGAGGGGGGTCTCTGCACTCAATCCCCGCCTCCCCACCGGGATCCTTCTGCCCTAAGACATTAGCACACAAACAAGCTTCTTTACCTGAATTTGGGTGTTTTTTTTTTTTACATTGAGGGCGTTTGGGGGCCACACCTGGTCGTGCTCAGGGCTCACTCCTGGCTCTGTTCTCAGGGCTTACTCCTGGCCGGTTTTCTATAATGCTGGGGTTCAAACCCTGGTCAGCCATCCGTGCAAGCCAAGTGCCTTATCCCCTGTCCTGTCTTTCTCCGGCCTTTCACCTGTCTGGGAAAAAATGAGTCCCCCCATTCCCCTTCATCCCTCCACCGACCCCCTCCACCAGAATGAACAGCAAGAGTTTTGAAAGTGCACTGTGGAACAAGAAGTGTTTTAGCAAACTTGAAGGGATGTTTGGGATCTCCAAAAGCATGCTTTCTTCGATGCCAAATGGAAGATACTCAGACACTTAGAAGGAAACCAAATGAAGGGTACTGGTTTGGAAGAGCAGGGTTCTTCTTCGAGTGGAGGTTCCATCCCTAGGCTCTTTGTTGTGGGTTTTTTTGGGGGGGCGGGTCAGGAGAGGTTTGGGGAGGCCAAACCTAGCACTGCTCAGGATTTACTTCTAGCTCTCTGCGCTGGTGGGGGTAGGGGGACCATATGTGGTGCTGAGGATGAATCCCGAATGAGTGTCATATGAGGCAAGCTCCCTCCTACCCACTAGACTCTCTCCGGCCTTCCCTAAGTCCTTTGCTCACAGGCTTAAGGTAAAGACTGTTTAATTCATTTAAAGTCCCTTTGTTCCCAGCCCTTAGCTGTCATATCCTGACACCAACTTCCAGAAGATGTTGTAAGAAATCTTCCAAGACACACAAGGAAGAGAATCCCTGCTCATTCTTATTCTTGGGAAGCGGGCATGAAGTTCTGGAAGTTTCATCTGGAGAGGGTAGGGAAGAGAGGATGAGGGCAAGGGGAGCAAGAGTAACCCCTCCTGGGGCTGGACAGATGGACAGCAGCAGCTCGCTTGCCTTGGACACAGACAAGTGGGTTCGAGCCCTGGCATGCCACAGGGTCTCCCAAGCACTGCCAGGAGGGATTCCTAAATGCAGAGCCAGGAGGAACCCCTGAGCAATGCCGAGTATGGTTCCCCCTCTCCCTGCCCCCAAAAGTAACCTACTCCTCTCTTCTTGGCAGTCCTGTACTTTATATAATTTTTATCTCAAGTCTTTGAAGGGGCTACAAGGCATTCTGTGAGCCCCCACTTTCTCCGACAGCCTTGCCACCCATCTTAGATAGGCAAGCCTGAGGGTGCCATGGCTTTCCACCCTCTTTTTTTTGCAGCCTACCCATAGAGGACTCTATGGCCCATCACCCTCCCAGCTCCACTCACTGGCAAACCCCACTCTGCAGTCGGCAAAGGAGCGGAGAACAGGTACTCCTGGCCAAACGCTTTTCCTCTAGGACTATGGAAATAGAATCTCAGCAAACTTAAGTCATGTTCCAAAAAACAAACAAAAAAATAAATAAAACACCAAAACCAAAGCCCAGTCAGTACACAGTGAGGTCAAAGAGCCCAAGAGCTATAGGCACCACCACGCCAAGATGCAGTGTCCAACCCCGCCCCCCCCCCCACACACATACACACACCACCACCACCACACACACCTAGAGGCATAGGCAACTCATCCTGACTGCACCTGCCTGACCTGACGGGTGCTTGGGGTCCTGAGGCTGGGCTTCCGCTCGGGGGCTGCCCTCGTCCCTACCTCCTCACACCTCGGAGCATTTAAGAGCAGCCTTGCTCTTGCCAATGGGAGTCCTCCAGCCCAAATGCTTTCAGCATGATTTTAGGATGCTTCGTGTCCCTCTTCACTCCTCGTTCTTACTGACCCCTTTGACGCCACATGAGGAGTCCTGTCTCCAGAACCGAATTTAAACGTGCTCCATGGGAAAAGGAGATTGAATCTGGTTTCCAGGGAGTACGTTAGAGGATGTCTCACCAAGTGTTCTGTATCCCTTCGAGTAGGCAAATGCAGAGTTCCATCTGCCAAGAGCCAGAAGCCCTGATGGCTCTGGGGGTCAGGACAACCTGGTTTGGGATAAGCAAGTCCAGATGCAGAGACTTACAGAGAAGAATAATTTATTTACTTATACGCCAATAGGAGGAGGGGGTGTGGGGGGGGGGGGGGCGGCGGCGGACTGAACTTCCTCTGCAGGAAAAGCTGCTTGCAGCTTGGCCAGTCTCTGCATCTATTCGGGTTCCGAGATGTGGTGAAGGAAAGTTGGTTGGGTTTAAGTCTCAGTGATTGGATGAAATACTTGGAAGTTGAGTGCACAAAGAGGGCTTTCTCCCCAAGGCAGGCAGCAGCATTAAAGTTCTGGAGCAATTACACTCTCTCAGCTCTAACTGCCTGCCTCTGCTTTCCCCAGTGTCTGGAGGGCGGGACCGGGACAAAACCTTTCCTTTCACTCCTCAAATTATCAGGTTCTGTGGGCTCAAAATAGCTCCCGAGTACTACGGAAGGAAGACAGTCTCCCGTGCCTCTTCAATGAAGTGCAAAGCACCATAGTAACCAGAATTTCTGTTGTGTCTTTCTTTTCTCTGCGAGGCCCGAGAACATTTTATTAATCTGTATGTGCTGCTAAGACTGAGAGAGGAGAGAGAGGAGACTGAAGCAAGAAGCCAGAAGTCTGCACTTCAGAGGCCCAAGGGAGGCCAGGGCTGGCCCAGGGGGCATCACAAGGCATGCCCAGGAGGGGCACAAAGCCAGACTAGCTAGTTGCTGCCCTACCACTGGCTTCGGTCATCCACGCCCCTACATCACATTCCCCAGAAGAGCCTTCGGGTTTCTGGGATGGAAGACCAGGCTCCCTGTGATCACTCACTCACATGCAGCAGCATCAAATGGCTTGTGAGGGGCAAGCAGGACCCTCCCCAATAACAACCTCCTGAGACAGAGTGGAAGGCAGAGGCCCCTAGGTTAAGGTGGCCTCAGCGCAGGCTCGTTGAATGGAACCACACAGAGCTGTCCTTCCGGGAAACAGGTTCCAGTAGGTGCGCTGAGGGATGGCATGCCCAGGAGTCCGGCTACCCAACCTCTTAAAGCATCAGGGAGATACAAGCATGCCACAGGGACAGAAGTGTGGAGTCATGAAGGACACAAGTGGGGATGCTAGTATTCCTCCCTTAAAACCGGAAGGCTTTTCCGAAATGTTAGTTTGCAAACCAGCACTCCATGCCAACCCGAACCTTTTAATGACTGATCCATCCTCTCTCAGGATTTCCTTCTCTACTAAGCTGGGGAAGTGGACTTTCAGCTGGCTACCTGTGTAACTCAGGGCCTGAGCAAGGATAGAGGGAAAGAAGACAAAACCCATCAGACAGACGTGATCATGACCTGCCACTTGGCTCAGTGCAAAAGCAATCCCTTGAAAGCAATCCCTGAGGTGCATCTCCTGTGGTGTTTCACAGGCTGAGCTGTGGTATTTTTTCAAAATACCGCTAACTGCCATCCACACTGGCTGATGGAAAGGCTTTCTCGCCTTTCTCACATTCTCCACTGCTCTGTTCAGACTAACAAGAAATATCACAAACTATGGCAAAAGTAAAGGGCAAACAAAGCCCAAGACATGTCATTTGGGTTATTTAGTGTTCGATCATCTGACATCACTGTATTTGATCACTATATTTTGATAAAAAATATAAAGGACTAAAATCATTTGAGTAAGGTGTGCACTGTGTGCTGCAGAAAACATAGAAACACATTTGCACATACAGGAGAAGGCCTATGTTTCACATCTAACTGCAAATATTTTGATAGCAAAAATGAGTGTCTGTGCATGTTTGCACATGTGCATTGTGACTTAGTCAAAAACCCTAGGGCCAGATGTATTTCAGAATTCAGAATTTTCACCCCTTTGGGATTTTGGGGGGATTTTTTTTTAATATAAGGCATCTATACCACTATTCCAATACTTCAGCCGGAAGACAGCCGGAATCTTATATGGACACCTGCTAACATAACTACAGCAAAAATAGTAGTCTGAGGTATGATACAAATCTTCCCAGCATTAGAGCTTCCAGTCAGTTTGAATTCCTTTTTTGCCCAGAATTAGCTTGCCACTAACTTGTAAGCCTTGTTCTGGATTTTAAGATTCCCGAATTTTTAGAATCATAAAGATTTATGAATTTGTCACTTGTGGATACGTTTCCTAACTGCTAGGAAGCAGAAACTTAAACATGAGTGCTTTTGCCGCACATGACTAAAGAAATAAATCTGAATTTTCTTTCATGTCTATTATTTGCGATACATGAGAATATTAGTTAAAAATTACTTGAGATATGTCTATTTCTATCATATTACTTGATGCTGTAAACTAATAATATTATCAATAATTAATTAAAATTAATAGAATAATTAACTTCCACTAACAATGGACTTATTCTCCAACTCTATAGTTACTGAATCTGATTTGGAAGAATCAGTGACTCCTGCTTATCTGGATGTTTATTTGGAAAAATCAACATTATTTGGGGGTCGTTTTTGGGCACTCCCAGATCTGTGCCAGGGATCAAACCAGGGGTGGCTGCATGTAAGGCCAGCACCTTAATCCCTGCAATATCTTTTAAGCCCCGTATCTGCATTTTCAGAAGCTCTTCAGGCTGCAGGTATGGCTGAGTCGTAGAATGCATCTCACATAAAAGGCCCTGGGTTTGAGCCCACATACCATCCTCCCCAAAATTTTGTGTTTTATACAAAGCTCTTCGGGTGGTCCAAATGAGCACCTAGGCAGAGGAAGTATTACTGTCTTGCATACATCCTACAAACAGGAAATCTCTTGGTGGATCCCACACCCTTCCATGGATATGCGTATGGAATGACATGATGGAAAATAATTTTTCTCCGACATGAAATAAACACAAAACACAAACACACATACACACCCACAAACCAGAGGGACAGTTTGGCAGCTATACCTCTTCAAAGTCATCTTTGGCTGAAGGAAGGTCAGTGGCTAAGCTAGAGTCCCCCAGGTGCTTCTCCATCCTCTCTCCGTGGACCAGTGTGGTTTTCACCACCTTGCTGACTCTGCGGCCCTCCACGGGTTCAGCCTGAAAGTGGGAGTCGCTGGACAAAAGGCTGGGCTCATACAGAGTCACCTGATAAGTGAAGGACACACGACATACAATGTCTGACTGCCAAAAAGTGAGGAGGACGACATTCTCTATGCTTTGGGGAGAGGGGAAAAAAAGCAAACACAACCTTACACTGTCATCTGACAAGAAAAAGTAGTTGGGGGAACAAAAATGAAATAAAATCAAACATAAGCTCTATAACCAGTTAGTGATATCCCTGAAATCATTCTTTGGTTTTTGTTTTTATTTTTGCTTTTGGGGTCACACCCAGCGATGCTCAGAGGCTGCTCCTGGCTCTGCACTCAGGAATTACTCCTGGCCATGCTCGGGTGGCCATATGGAATGCAGGGGATCCAAAGGATCCAAACCAGCCACGTGCAAGGCAAACACCTTACCCGTTGTGCTATTGCTTTGGCCCTATCCCGTAATAATTTTGTCTAGAGTTACTTCAGAAAAGCTGACCACTCACATCAGTCATGGGAATGGAAAATGTAGAAATGGATACATGAGGAGCAGCTCAACACAGTCTGTGTATGAACTGTCTTTCCCCAGCTCTAAGTTACATGTTTGGATGGGAGATAGATAAAATTGACCCCCTAAATGAGGAGCCTCTGCAGATACGGGAAAACTGAAAAAGCAGCACATTTCCAGGTTCTGTGTGTCTCAGAACAAAATGAGGGAGGATCTTTGCACGTGAGTGAGAAATTTACCCCATCATCTAAGACAGAGACTGATGATGGTCTTGGAAGAAAAAAGTAAACCAGAGGGAAATAATACCACCCGCATCAAGAACTTTTCTGGAGCTGAGCTGAGTGGCTCAGAGGGACAAAGATTTCTTTCAGATTCCTAGAGTTTCATGCTACCGCAGCGCCTGCCCACCAAGTGGGACTCAGGGCTTTCTGAAACCTCCTAACTCTCGGGTTTGTGGTGTGCTCAACTTTGAAAGACACTGGAACAAAATTTAAAAGGATCAAGACAATGAGGATGATGGCCACCAATGATGGTGATGGAAAGGCTCCAACAAGCCACCAAGGAAGCGATGAAGGCAGACGGCCGTGCCCACGGAAGGCCACGCCCCACCTGTGGCTACACACGGGGGGGCCTCACCTCTGATTGCTGGGTGTCACTCTTCAATACCACCCGCTTGATGACCTTGGAGTATCCATCCCCTTCCTCAATGTGCACCGGCTCCTGGGGCGTTCCCTGCATGGTGATCTCCTCCGTCTCAGTGCCGTCGGGAGAGACAAACCGCTTAATGATCTTCCTGGTGACCTGCAAGAACACAGATGGAGTCTTGGATGCAGGGAACCAGGTGGGGACAGGGGGGAGGCCAGGACTCAGGCCAGCCCCGAGCAAGCATGTCTACCCTACCTTCTTCACCACCCGGTGGCCCTGCTCATCCGTGTACTCCTCCTCCGTCACGGACTCCGGGGGGAAGTCCGGCATGTCATCGCCCTAGGCCGGGGAGAGAAAGCGAGCCTGTTGGGTCTCTGGCAGGGCCGTGCACATAGACTCCCCCCACCACCAGGTCCAGTGAGCAAGGTTAGAGAGAACATTCCAGCAGCCATCAGGAATCCCAGCCCGGAGTTCATTTGAAACCAGACCAAAGGAAACCAGAGGTGGGTGAGAGCATGCCTGGGAGATGCTGAATAGAGTTAGGGCAAACTGGAAATAAGCTCAAATCAACAGGTGTGAGGAAAAGCGAGAACGGGCGCTTGACCGTCAGAAGGGACACAGGCTGCATTTCTTCATGAAGGACGTGGAGCAGAGGGCAGGGTTCTGCTTTGTCGGTGACCATGCACGGCGACTCAGGGAACTCGGCACTTCACTCAGGATGCATTGCTCGCCCAGGGGTGCAGAACAGAACGGTCCCAGGCACACGTGCAGCCACTTGCCAGCCGGTACCTGGATGATCACGCGCCGGCGGACCACCCTGGTGGTGACCATGGCCTCCTCATCAGAGCTCACCTCCAGCTCCCCTAACTCCCGGATGAGCTCCTGGCGGGAATCAGGGAAGCACCGTTGGGTTCACGGCTCTCCAGAAGCATCTTTGCTATTACCTAGGTTTCTGCCCTAAGTTGTCCTGTTCTTCTGAGAATTTTTTTTTCTTTTTGGGTCATACCCAGTGATGCACAGAGATTACCCCTGGCTCTGCACTCAGGAATTACTCCTGGTGGTGCCAAGGGACCATACTGGATGCCGGGGATTGAACCTGGGTCGGCCGTGCGCAAGGCAAATGCCCTACCTGCTGTACTATTGCTTCGGCCCTCTTCTGAGAAGTTTTAATTCAGAAGAGACCTTTGGGATGGGAGTGGGCGAAAGCCACCCCCTCTCAAGCTTCTTGGAGAAGATAATCCCAGGATTGGATTCCTAGAGGTATGTGAGCAAAATATATTCAGAGCTAAGCCACACAAAATCCTTAAGAGCCATTGGTATTGGCTTGGGCGGTGGTAGTTAACACAGATAGAGAAATGTCAGTTTCTTATAGGAGAACTCTGTACAGGAAGCTAACATTTCCCGTAACTATTATCTAGTCAAAGTGCATCTCTCTGGGGTTAGGGAAGGCAGGAGAAGAATAATTTTAGGTTCATTTGCGAGAAAGTAGAGTTTCAGAGGCCAATCCGACATATAGGCCTGCTGCAATTTTAGATGAGAGCATATGGCTCAATCGCCATATACGGAATAACTTCTAAGTGGAATGCAATTAAAGGGGAAAAAAAAGTCTAAATTTTCTCAGGAGAGCTTAAAATACTCAGTATATTTTTATAGTCTTTCAACTCAAGGAAAATATGCAAATTTGAGACCAAATTATATGCTAAATACATTGAAGAAGCTGCCGCCTAGAAAAACGGTTAGCACGAAAAGTGACGAAAATTGGATCTTCAAGTTATGATCATGAGAAGTTCAGGGTCAAAAAGGAAGCTTAAGAGAGAGATTAGGATATTCATGGAAAATCAGCAGAAGGTCCCCAAGAAGTATCTGGAATGCCTTTAGATGAGAGATGATGCGTGTATGTAAGTAGCCAGCTACCAGCCTCCGGGCCCTTAGACCACTCCCGGAATTTAGAATTTCAAACTGCGTCTATGAAATATTTTGTATGCTCGGGGGCCACCCCAGCAGTGCTCAGGGATCATTCCTGGTGAGGCTCAGGGATCTTAGGTGGTGCCTCAGGTAAACTCAGGTAAACTCAGGAGCAGATGTCACCCTATGGGGACTAATCAGAACCGGAGATTAAGCTGCAAAATATGTTTATATTGCCTTTGTTTTTTGGGCTGGAGTGATAGGACAGTGGTAGGGTGTTTGCCTTACAAGCGGCCAACATGGCCGACCCAAGTTCAATTCCTCCACCCCTATCGGAGAGCCCGGCAAGCTACCAAGAATATCTTGCTTGCATGGCAGAGCCTGGCAAGCTACCCGTGATGTATTCGATATGCCAAACACAGTAACTACAAGTCTCATGATGGAGACGTTACTGGGCCCACTCGAGCAAATCGATGAACAACAGGAGGACCGTGACCGTGACCTTTGTTTTTATCCCTAAAGCTTTTTCTTTTTTAAATCTTTTTAGGTAACTCATCCTTTACTACTGAGTTGTAGACTGAGGCCTCAAAAACACTTTGACCTATATAAAGCTTTTGACCTATATAAAGTCTTTGAATTTTGAAAAGGAAAAAATTTTATATACAATTTATTTTAAATTAAGTTGAATTCAAAGACTCTCACTTTGTGGAGGTAGGGGGGAGTTAGGCCACATCTGGCTATGCTCAGGGGTCACTTCTGATGGTTCTTAGGGATCAAATGCAATGCTTGGGAATAAACTCGGGTGAGCCACAAGAAAGAATGGAGTCTTATTCTCTCTCTCTCTCTCTCTCTCTCTCTCTCTCTCTCTCTCTCTCTCTCTCTTCACTCTTCAGGAGAACTGGTCTAGAAAGCCAGATCTGGGCCCTCCTCTACCCGCTGAGGTTCGTTCTGACCCAGGAAATCCAAGGACGAGTGAAGGCCCGAGTTGGGCGCTGACGAATGCGAACCACTGACATCATGGGTGAAAGGAAGTCCTGAAGGCAGTGTCCTGCCGTCTTCACAATGTCAAAATTCAAGGACAAATGAAAGCTACAATCTCATGCTATTCTCAAGTTTTTCTCCTGTGAACATTTTCATTCATATTTTACATTCCTGTCATATGCTATTTTGCCCAAAGCAATGCAAGTCATGAATAACAAATCTTTATGGCTCCACTTAAATATCTGAAAGACGGAACTTTCCAACAGGTTCTGAAAATCTTTCAAAGACACAGTTTGTCTCCACTTTGGTGGAGAAATAATTGACTCATCCCCTTGTATAAGATGAAGGCGGACAGCGGGGTGGGGGATGCAAGTGGACATACATTTTCTATGTCGTTACATGTATTTGCACATACTGTGAAATTACTACAACAGGTCAACTAACATCCACCTTCTCATAGAAGAATAAAGGAAAAAGGTTTTCTCTTCATGGTGAGCCTTTAGGTTTTTTTGTCTTATCATCTTTTCATGTCCAGCCACTAGGCTGTAGGTCACATCACTGATGTTCCCCAACCTCATAACCCAAGTCAAGACTGGACGTCTCTACCCCCTCACAGCTCCCCTCTGACCCCCAGCCTACACCCCTGCAAGCCACACTATGGGTCAACTTCACCATTAGAGCCAGAAACCAGTTTTAAATGCTCTTTTTTTTTTTTTTTGGTAAGTCACCCTTAAAATATAGAAGAAGGTCTCCAATTAAACTAACCCTTCAGCAAAGAAGCCTTATATTTTCTTTTGATTAATTGGTTTTAGTTTGGGGGCCACACCCAACGGTGCTCAGGGAGCAAACTTTGGATGGTCGTGTGCAAGGCAAGAACCTTACCAGTGGTACTACTGCTCTGGCCTTCAAAATTTATTAGATGTACTGAATTTGAAAAGCAGTATCAGGTATATTATGACAGGCATATTAATTTTCTTTTCTTTTTTTCTTTTTGGGTCACACCCAGCTATGCTCAGGGGTTCCTCCTGGCTCTGCACTCAGGAATTACTCCTGGCAGTGCTTGGGGGACCATATGAGATGCTGGAAATCGAATCTGGGTCAGCTGCGTGCAAGGCAAATGCCCTACCCGCTGTACTATCACTCTAGCCCGCGTATTAGTTTTCTTGGAAAGGAAAGGAAAGAGGAGGGTTTCAATGCTACATGGAAGATCTATCTGATCTAGAATTAGTCTTCTGCATCACCCCCCCTCCCCCGCCAAGATTCACTGCTCTTAAAGGGACTGCTGGTAGCAAAGGCAAGGAATGAGGCAACCATTCACCCTTACACAATGGGAAGAGAATGAGCTGTCAGAGAAATGGAAACCAGGAGAAGGTCTGTCTCTCCTCACAGGCCAGGGTGGGGAGGACGGTCTTACCTTCTCGAATGCCGCGTCTCCGTCCGGCCTCTCACAGGCCCGGGGCTGCTCATCGGTAGACTCCATGATGACGAGGCTGGTTTTCCTTGGAGAACCTTCCTCCTTGGGTTCGGGGGGCTCCTCGGGCTCCTGTATGATGGGGGCGTCCACCCGCTCCCCAGAGGCTGGGGTCTGGAGGTACAGCGTCTCCCGAGAGACATCAGGGCTGGTGACCTCCTCAGGGGTCTTGTGGGGAGAGCCAGGCTCTGCTGTGGCCTTGGGTGTCTCAGACCCTTCTGTCCCCGGGGAGGTGACACTGGAACAGAGAAGCTCCATGAGAGGCTGGAGCCCACGTTTCCCCCCCCCATCCACGCTGGAGCAACAGCACAGGCAGGGAAAATGGCGCTCATCTCCATGGATGGGAAGCCCACAGAGGTTTCATGCATTTGGCCAAGCAACGCAATGTGAAGAGAAATCAGTCTCTCAACTGTAGCACAGACACAGCTCCTTGCTTGCCTGACTGGATCAGGCGGATTCTAGACATAAAAGAGTGACCCTACCATATCTCACTGTTGCCTCATCAACAAAATGATGAGCTCTGGGTCATAGCAGAGATTTGACCACAATGATCTCCAGAGAGTGAGAACAAGGATCAAAATACGAAATTCCTTTTTTCTTTTCAGGAGAGCAGGGAGCATACTCAGTGGTACTCCCTGCACTGCTCGGGAGGGGACCCACACAGCCCTGGAGATGGACATGGGGTTCCCACATGCCAGACCAGTGTGCCAACATTTTGAGTATACTATTGGCCACTATTCCGCTTTTATTTTTGTTTTCTCTAGGCTGGAGTGATAGCACAGTGGTAGGGCGTTTGCCAACTTGGCCGACCTGAATTCGATTCCTCTGCTCCTCTTGGAGAGCCCGGCAAGCTACTGAGAGTATCTCGCCCGCACGGCAAAGCCTGGCAAGCTACCCATGGCGTGTTCGATATGCCAAACACAGTAACAACAAGTCTCACAATGGAGACGTTACTGGGCCTGCTCAAGCAAATCAATGAACGGGAGGACAGTGCTAGCTCTGACCTGTGCTGATGGAAGCCATAAGAAAGGATTTTATTTGTTTATTTATTTATTTATCTTTTTGGGTCACACCCGGTGATGCTCAGAGGTTACTCCTGGCTCTGCACTCAGGAATTACTCCTGGCAGTGCTCGGGGAGCCATATGGGATGCTGGGAATCGAACCCGGGTTGGCCTTGTGCAAGGCAAACACCCTGCCCACTGAGAAAAGGTTATATAAGTGGATCTGCTTGGTGACACCCCCCGCCCCTGGTGCCCACTAGGTCTGGTGTGTCTCTGAAATAGGCAGTGGAGAGATTTTCCACACCCCCACCCCACCCCACCCCAAACTTACAAGTATTCTTGCTGATGTTCGAGGGGCGATGTCTGCAGCGTGTCTGGAGTTTTCCCTGAGACGTCCTGTGGCCCATGGTCCTTGAGAAGGAGCTCAGTGGCGGGGCCGTCAGGCTTGGGGACGCAGTCCTGAAAAGTGGAATAGCCGACGGAGATGTCCTCCTCGGAGACCATGGGGGGCTGATCGGAGGCCTCGCTCTCCTTTGAGGCTGCGGGCCGCGTCTTCTGCTTGCGCTGCGCTTCCTCGGGAAGGACCGAGAAGTCTGCAAGGAGAAGGTCCCTCAGGGCACGGCAAGGGCCAGGGGCTGGACCAGGTTCTGGTTCCAGCAATGATGGGACCCTGTCTGCCTTCTCGGGTCCCCTCACCTACAAGAGCAAGCATGGAGCCAAGGACACAAGACCAGATAAAGAAACCAGCCTGCGCCATGTTCAAGGCCACTCTCCACACGCTTGGATGAGCCTCACCCAAGAGGAAACTGGCAGAAAAACCCAGGTATGCGGGAACCCATGACTGAGATCTCCAAGCCTGCTCAGATCAATACTGGGACTCCTTCCCCCCCAGCTCCCCAGTTTTTCAGTAGCTTGGCAGTCACACCCACAAACTGCCCCCAGCGCATGTCATCTCATCAACAGCCAAGACCCAGAGACTATAATCTAAAGCTCCAGGAAGAGAATAACGCAGAATTTCCTGGACCTCTTACACTCTACCTCACCTACTTATCCAAAGTAGCACACAATTGTTTGGTTTTAACATACTTGCTTGTATTCTCTTATATTCGGGCTTAAATGGCTCCAGAATGAAATACAACAACCTTCACACACTTTCCTCTTATTGTGCTGCTCGGTGGAGGGATTGGTGTTTGAACATTATCTGTACTATTGTGATATAGTTCACAAATGAACCACTGTGAACTACCTTTATGAAAATAAAATATATATATATAAAAAGAGAGAGGAAAAAAAAAAAAAGAACTTGGCCTGACCACAGCTCGACACTACCCAAGTAGAACAGGTGAAATCTTGCTGTCTGCTTTAATGTGGACGGGATAAATGGGCAACAGGTCAAGAGAAGTCGGACCACTTCCTACTGACCTCATTCATCTGCGGGATTTAAGGGAAAAAAGCAAGAGAATGGAAAGTGTTCAATGATGATGTGGACTTGGAATAAAGACCTGTGCTCGCTGTGTTAAAGGGACTCGGGGTAGGGAAGGAAAAAGCTAACGAGACGTGATGCTAGGACAGTAAGTGACAATGACTAAAGTCTGATTAGGGTAGATCCTAGAGAATGTTCTGGAGGGAATGGGGAGAGGGAGATGATGCAGGTGATTTAGACACAGTTTTTTAAAGTACTTTACGAGATGGGGCTAGAGACATAATACAGTGGGTAGTATGGCTGACCTGAGCTCTGTCCCTGGTTCCCTGTACGGGTTCCCCAGCCCTGACAGGAATGATCCCTGAGCACAGAGCCAGGAGTAAGCCCTGAGCACTACGGATGTCCCACCAACCCCGTATCCCCCAAAGAAAAGATTTACTTTTAAAAATGAATGCAGGAACAGAGCAATCATACTGGGTGCATGAGAATAAAAGGCAGTATTGATTTCACACACACATACATACACACACATACTCACACACATGCACATACATACACGCACATACATATGCACACATGCACACACACATGCTCATGCACGCACACACATACATACACACATATGCACACACCCACACATATACACATACTCACACACACGCACACACAGAGACTAACTCCAGAGATAGGCCGGAGGGCTCAGTGTGGAATCTGGGGAGGCATTTCAGCTCAGCCTGTTGGCACTCAGGGCCCAGCTCTGCTCTCCCCTGGTAATCTCAGGACTCAGGGGTCAAACTCAGAGCCTTGAGCATGCAAAGCACATGCTCCACCACTGAAGCTATTTGAAGACGGGTTCCAGTAAAACATGTGTTCATGTTGTCCAGAAAGGCAGAAGAGGGAAGGGCTAACTTCTAGGTAACTCTAGGAGGGGCCTGAATCTGACAGACAAGGAATGAGATCAGACAGAAAGGAGAGGCCAGGTCAGCAAGGCAAGGCGATTTCACACATTGTCATTTCTGGCAAGGGATGGGAAGGTACTGGGAGACCCTCAGAGACGGTGCATTTGTAGCAAACATACACAGCTGGACGTGGCTCACTTCTAAAGTGCTCCTCAAGGGGCCACAGCAATAGTACAGTGGGGAGGGTGCTTGTCTTGCACATGACTGACCCAGGTTCGAGACTTGGCATCCCATATGGTCCCTTGTGCACAGCCAGGAGTAATTCTTGGTTTGACCCCCAAATCTAAGCGTTCCTCAATCTAGGAAATAAATAAGGGAGACACTGGCTGCTGGGAAGGAAGAGAGCGAGGGATGGGATGAAGGCAGGGAACAACCGGCCATGGGTCAGGGGAGAGTTAGCAGGAATGGGAGGAAGCGGCAGCAGGCTTCAGTGGGGAACCACAGCACAGCCGTGGACCATGAGGTTCTGGGAACCAAGCACGGAGGTGGGCCACTAAGAAACAGCCAAAGACAGGACATAACACCGCTCAGCTGTCGGAAACCAGGGAAGCTTGCCTCTGGAAGGGTCGCGCGAAGTGACATGAGTCAGAGGGAGGAAGATGAAGGCAGGATGGTCTCTCCGTGCGTGCAGGGAGGCAGGGGGGTACAGGGATACGGTGTGGCTGGGTGTGGGAACCTGTCTGGATGAGGTGTGAACACAATGTCACCTCAGTGAAAGAAAGAAGACGTTGACAGGACACAGAGGACATGAAATGAGCCTCCTGGACCACAGCAGTCGGGGACTGAAAGTGTCTCCTTCAAAGTGCTGAGTGCGACTGCAGGTGGGTGTTTGCGTGGCAGCTACTCCATGGGCATAGGTGGGGTCAGCGTCCTGACCCAGAGTCAGATCTGACTGAACCGGAGCCCTGTCTTGGAATTCAGCCGTTAGGACTGAAACACATTTCCATGGGGTCAGAGTGTTCTTTCTTGTTCAGTCCAGTCGTCCTCAACAGAAGAAGGAGAGAAAAGAGACGCAAAGCCTGGACAAGAATCCAGGACGATCTCAGGCAGATCCTCAGAGAACATGTGGCATTTTTTTTTTAATTGACCGTACTTGAACCCTGTCTGTGAGAAACCCATTTCCCTGTTGTTCACAGGGAAGCCAACAGCTGACTAAGAGAGGCTGAAAGGACCGGCGGCCCAGGCAGAAAAGTAGCGAGGGAGGAAGAGAAAGGTGGGACGGGCATCAAAGGCCACCATTCAGCTTCCATAAGAGACACTCCACCCCAGATACTTTTCGCCCCCCCACACACACTACACATATCCACACCCCCACACAACACATGCCAACACACATACTCCACAACCACCACAAGCACTGCACATGCTACCCATGCCCACTGATACACAGCATATGCCTACCACATGTACCCCAGAGTTACTACCCACCCACCACATGCCTACCACACAGACCTCAGTTACCACATACCTCATATATGTCACAGCACACACCCACCACACATGCCCCATATGATAATACCCACCTCATACACACACTACACATGACCCCCCCACACACACACATATACCATCTGACCTTCGCTATGATCCAGGGCAATGGTCTTCTCGATTTCAGCGTAGCTATGGCGTACACGCTCCCCCAAGGACTCTGTGTTGGTCTCCATGAGATGGACAATATCCATCCGGTTGATCTTGGTGAGACACTCAATGAGATTCGTATCTGGAACGTAAGGCGACAGCTGCTTACTATATCCCAGGGGTACTTAAAAACCAAAACTTTCATGTAGCCATCTTACTTAATTCTTAATATCTTCACAGAAAACAACCAGAAAGTGATGAAGGGTCTCAGCAAAAATATGCCAATAGATAAGCAAGAAATAAGCGAAAAATCGGGGCATGGTGTGGGCACAAACCCTAATGGCAGAGTTTCCAGATAATGCACAGAGAGCCTGTCTAGGAGGAATTTCAGACAAAACCAACAGAATTTCAGAGCAGAGCAAACCTTTTGGGTCTCTGTCCCCAGTATTGCACAGGATGTACTTAAACCAAAACATATCTGTAGATTAGTTGAAATTTCATTTCACTGGTGTGTTCTGTCTTTCTACATGTGCAGTCTGACCATCCTCAATAGAAGAAGGGGGAGAGGAAAGAGACGCATGGCCCGTATGAGAATCCAGGATAATCTCAGGCAGATCCTCAGAGAACATGTGGCATTTATTATTGACTGAATCACCGTGAGAATTACAAAGCTATTCATGATTGAGTTTCATTCATACTATGTTCCAACATTCCAACACCCATCCTCTACCAATGTGCACTTCCCAACACTACTCCCCAGTTTCCCTCCTATCACCCCCAACTATCATCCCTCATCCCTCACCCCCCTCCAGCCTGCGTCTATGTGCTCTCTCTCTCTCTCTCTCTCTCACACACACACACACACACACACACACACACACACACACACATTTGGGCATTATGGTTTGCAATACAGATGCTGAAAGTTTATCAGGTATATCCCTTTACCTACTTTCCACACTCAGTTCTTGCCCAGTGTGATCATTTCCAACTATTTTCCAACTATCACTGTCATAATGGTCCCTCTCTCTCTTAATTCCCCTTCAAAACATGTGACAAATTTAGAACAGCTGAGGGAAGGAAGCACGTGTCACTGTGTCACTGCTCTTCTCACTAAAAGAGCAAATACGGTTCATCCTACAGAACATTGACTTAACATGGAGGGAATAAAGGGAGCGGGAAGGGCTTCATGAATGACCAATGAGACAAAGCTCTGCTGACATCCAACAGCATCTAGGAAGAACCTGGTATCAACCCTATCAGCAGCCAGTGGTGGTGGGGACCCTCCACTAGTTGGCGCTGGTCCCGGAACTCTGAGTGAAAACCTAGCTGCAGAGCTCAAGCTTCAGCAATGCCATAGTGGGATCTAAATTGTGTCCAGTAGTACTTCAGCCAGCGCGTGGCTCTGGCAGTACTTCTGCCGCTTTAGTATTCCCTTTACCTGTGGCGTGCTTCCCGTCCCTCTCTAGCCAGTACTTCAACAGCGCGTGGCTCTGGTCTTGCAGGGAGTTCGGGTTCTCAATTCGAATCTGGTGGATTTGCTCCTCAGTGAAATCCAATTCTCGTGCCAATTCTACAAGAGAAAACATGGTGTAAACACATTTCCGCCAAGGTCTTCACAACTAGCCTTGTGATTCTTGCTGGGATGATCTTTCCATTCTTGTAAGTGATGTGGTTCTGTGACTTTTTCCCCCTCCCACTAGCGATCACTCTCACCTGTCTTTGTTCTTCTAGAATTAACCAAAGCTTTCCCCACCCCAGTTAAAACTAGGCCTAGCGCCAATCACTGCCAGCAGAAACTGTACGTTTGAGATAATGATGATAAAATGCATCACATATAAATCTGAAATTCCAAAATGGAGACGAGACCATTAATACTGGCTCATACTCTTAACCAAGACAATGGAAAATGATTTCTCACATGAACTCATCGTGAGATGATGTTTCTAAATGCTATGTATTCTGTTTCTGGGCACTTGAATAAATACTGGTTGTGGCTGTATTACAGGGGTGCGACTCTTTGCTTTGATGTTGCATGAATAAAAGATCTGAGATCATCTAAGTGACCCACAGAAAAAGTCTCAAAGTTTTTCTTTGAAGTTGACTGTGAAGATTCAATCTGGATACTCACACATTATGGGGAATATCTACACAAAGTGCCCTCTCGGATAGATTCCCATGTCTAAGTCATCTCTCCCAAAGCCAACTCCTGTACATCTTCAAGGTCAGTTAGCCAATATCTTTCAAATTAAAAATATGCATACCCATGGTCCAGAGCAATATTACACCAGGTAGAGCATTTCACGTGACCGACCCAGATTTGATCCCCGGCACCACATGTAGTCCACTGAGCCCACCAGGAGTAATTCCTGAGTGCAGGGCCAGGAGTAACCCCTGAGCACTGCTGGGTGTGGCCCAACAAACAATAAAAACACAAAAAAATTACATACCCTTGACTCAACAATTCTACTAGGAATATGACCTCTCTCTCTCTCTCTCTCTCTCTCTCTCTCTCTCTCTCTCTCTCTCTCTCCTCCCTCTCCACATATATACATATATATCATTCACAAAATGTACGAGCCTACAAGAATATTAAAATTTTTTTTTATAGTCAAGGGCCAGAGAAATAGCTCAATGGGCTGTAGAGCATGCTTTGTTGGCAGGGGGCCTAGATTCAATTTTCAGCAGCCCATGGTCCCCAAATACTGAAGAAACAACTCATAAGCATCTTTGAAAATTCCAGCAAGGATAAAACGCCTCGTCTGTTCTTGTTTTGGTTTGGGGGCCATACCTGACTGTTCTTTGGACTTACTCCTGGCTCTGCACTCAGGGATCACTCCTGGTGAGGCCGGGGGACCGTGTGGGGTGCTGGGAACAGAACCCAGATAGGCCATGTGAAAGGCAAGCACTCTACCTGCTGTACTATTACTCCAGCCCCTGTAAAACCTAGTCTGGCTCCAAGGTAACTTAACACCAAGTCTGGATGATATATTTTGTAGCTCATTATTCTTTTCACTCTTCCACCCAGCTTTCTTCAAGGGAAGGGAAAAAGAAAAGGTCTTTTAAAAATTGTTAATGGCACTTGGCTGATGCAACCAGGTCATTTAAACCAAGTAGTTATTACTGTCAGGGGTGGGGGGGAGAGGGCTGGAGGGTTTCCGGGCTCATTTTACCTGTCCAGCTGAAGCCCAGGTGATCTGCAATATAAGCGAGTCTTTCCTCGATCCGCTCCTGTTCATCCTGCTGATCTAGAGAAGGTCAAAAACAGAATGGCCAAAGGTTGTATGTGACAAGAGAGGGACCACAGCACTGACCATCAAAGAAAGAAAGTCACTTGTCCAAAGAGTTGGTCACGGCACGAATTAGCCACTACACTTCAAATAACATTAAATGATATGTCTGCCTGATTTCTGGAATGGAATGGAGAAAGAAATCTAAAAATAATAATAATAATAATTATAATAAACAACACAATGAAAACCATCTGCTTCCATATCTCTCTAATCAAGACTAGCCACTGGACAGAATCACACTGTGGATTTCCAAGAACCTCAAGATTTTCCTTTGAAAATTGTCTGAGTACACGATGCCACTGAAAGGCGATGATCTTGTTCCTGAAATGCCAGAGGAATCATTGACAAGATGTAGAAGTGAAGTAATGGATTTTCCCACCCCCGCCTACCATCACTGCTTTTGGGGGTGTACGTCATTGCCAAGTGAGGGCTTCCTATCTGAGATTTACAATGACTGACATCACTGGTTGCTCAGACTGTCCTGGGTATATTAAAACTGGTCAGCAACAGTGTCTCAGTTCGGATGACCCTGGTGGGGCTGGGGACCTTGAGGTACAGGCCAATGTATTTGCCAGTGTCTGCAATATTAGCATTACCCGTGTCTCTTGGGCCACGTTTCTATATGCTTCTTACTAAGTGAGCCCATATATTACACTCCCAACATATCCTTTTCCTTTTCAGATTGAACCCCAGGGATTGGCAGGCAGCATTTCAGAACATGGCATCATGGAATTTTTTTTTTAATTTAAGAAGAATAGTCTTTATTGTAGAGATACTGGAAGCCAGAGGCTGCTCGTCAGAGGCATCTATGGTTTCCTTTCCTCTCATTCATCACCAACCCCTTACAGCCGACTTCCTCATGCAACGTTTGAGTGTTTGTTGTCTGCGCATCTCAGCGGAGGCCATTCTCCATTCATTGACCACATAGAGGAAAAGCAGAGTGTTACCTTCTGTTTGTTTGCTTAAAGTGTTTACCAAGGATATCTGAAATCCAACTTTTCTGAATCAAAAAGAGATCCACAACAATTGGAATTTCACCATATATGTGAAATCTTCTCGACCCAATGGCTTCCTAATGATCACAAAATCGTTAAGGACAGATTATTGGAAATGCATATCCAGGTCAGAAGTTAAAAAAAAAAAGCAACAAATCCTCAGAATAGGAACCAAAACCCCCAATCTTCAGGTGCAAAGAAAAAAAATAAAGCCAAAGAGCTTCCTTCGGAGGCTTCAGCGCGGGGCTTCAGAACAACAAAACTCAAAGCTTGCATGGCCTGAGCATGCAGCGGCTAGGGAAGAGGCGAGACCACCCGTGTCGGGGCTCATGTTCATGTTCGCCATAAGCATTCTCATTACTCAATCTTGAGATTGTTCTCATAAGACAGGAGGATACAGAGGAAGCACAGAACACAAAGAGCTTACACAAACACAGTAACCGCTACAGAAAAGCTCAAAGAAAAATGAGACACCAATCACCAAAGAAAACAGACATACGGGAGGGGGGAAAAAAAAAGGGAGGTGGGGGGGAGGGCATCAAATGTATGACATGCGGAGCACAGGGGGTCCCAGGAGCTGGCAAATACCTTCAGCACGGTCATGGCCATTGTCATCAGGGATGCGTTCAATCAGAGTCTCGATGGACTCATCCCAAATGGGCCTCGTGTCAAAGATGTCCTCGGGGACCGAGTGCTCGGTGTCAACGGGTGGCAGGTTTTCGATTACAGACACTTCCAGGGCACTGCTACTCTCGTCATCAGACACTAACTCCTGCTCCCGCTCAGACTGGGTCAGTCTATCCACTAGCTTGGACGCCTCGTCGCTAATCTCCTCAAAGAACTCTATGGAGTTTCGGTAAAGGTCAAAGAAATGCTCCCTACTCTCGTGCGCGGGGCTGGTGGCCCCCTGGCTCGGGGCTGGGCAGGGGCTCCTGCTCTTCACCGGCAAGCGGGATGCAAAGATCTTTGATCTGGTCGCCACCTCCTCTGATCCTAACTCCAGCTCCCCGGCTTCCTCCTGGCTCTGCCTGTCTGTCTGGGGGTCACTGGTGCTGTGGGCCGGGCTCTGGGTGTGGGCATCCAGAGGCCTGGCATCGGGTTCTGACTGGCTTCTCTTTTCAGATGCCTGGCTTCCCCAGTCCTGTCCCTGAGGAACCACGGTCTGCTGGAGAGAAGATTCTAGATGCGCTGGCTGCTGTGGCTCTGTTCTTTGGGCAGGGACTTTGACTGGGATTTTAGACTTTGGTTTTGTTTCCTCCTCGTTGTTCTGCTCGTCCTCAGCCGGGCCGGGGGGGAAAACTTCCGAAGGCCAAGGCTGGGACCCCTGAGACGGAGGGGCAGGGGCCGCGCCGGGGGGAGTCCTGAGGGGGACTGGGGGCCTGTCCTCGGCACAAGGCACGTGTTCCATGGGTGCAGTGGGGATTTCGATGACAGATTTCTGTTCCTCAGGTGATGTGTCGGGAGAGTCCTCATCCCGATCCAAATACACCTGCCTTGAGACTGCGGAAAACCTCGGCTGCTCATCCTGGGCCCTGGGTTCTGGGGAATCGGACCCAGGGCTGTGCGTCTTGTCGCTCGGAAGAGGTGTCTCCCCCATCCCCTCAGCAGGTGTGTCCTCAGCGGGTGCATCCTCGCCCTCTCTGGCAGCTGTTTCCAGGGACACTGAGACCCCCTGGGATGTAGGCAGCTCCTCTCCTTCCTCACTGACATCATCTGGGATCAAGTCCGCCTCATCATCCACCACTTCTTCCTTGGATTCTGAAAGCACGGGGTCCCCCTCCGAGGCCTCCAATGGCGGGGATCCCTCTGCCCCTGTGAGCCCCTCTCTCTCGGCCTCCTCAGGGAGCGGCTCCTGCCCGATCTGGAAGAAGTGGAAGCTCTCATCGGCGTAGGACCGCTTGGTCATGTCAATGGCACCACTGCGCGTCATCTCGAACAGCTTGCCCTCCTGGAAGAGGAATGGGTTCTGCTCACTGGTTGGGGTCCCCTCTTCCGTGGGGGTCCTGGCGGGGGTGGTGTCGGGGGTGGTGCCCTGGGACTGGCGGTCCACCATCAAACCAAAGATCTTTTGCTCCTCCTCCTTCACACGTGCCTCGAAGGCCTCATCGTCCTCGCGAATGGCGCTCCAGGGGTCAGAATCCACGTCCGTCTTGGTGATGATGACATGGCTCACAGCTTCCCCGAGAGCTGCCGAGGGCGCTGCCACTGTGGGTTCAGGGTCCCCGTCCACCTCCCATGACAGGCCGGCTGGTTTGTGAGCGCCTGCAGGATCTGGGGCCTCGGAGAGTGAGTCGCAACTCAACACCACCAGCCCAGAGGAGCTGGTCAGGACCGCTTCTTCCAGGGACGCTGGGGAGGCCCCGGAATATGCTTCGGAAGAAGAGTGAAAGCTCACATGGCTTGTTTGTTCTTCTGGGGCTTGGCTTTCACCACCAGAGAAAAAAGACGGGGCAGGGACATTCTCATAGGGACTGGTGATGGGAGGATCAGTGCTTTCCTCCGTGTCAGCTGGGCTGGCCCCCATGGACACATGCTCTTCCGTCAGGGCGGGCATCCCTGGCTCTTGCACGGGGCCATCCTGCATGGAATCTGCCAGAGTTTGATCTGTTTCCACCCTCTCCATTTCTGAAGGCACTGAGGATGCATGTTCGTCCTCCCCTCTGGGCCCGGGGCAATGGCACCCAGACAGACAAGCAGAGCTGTCCCCAGAGCAGCCTCCTGGTGAAAACTCCACACCTGGAGCATTGGGCTCTGCCCTGTCGCTGCCTTGGTCAGCCGAGTCCTGCACACTTGACGATGATTCCTGCCAGGCAGCATCCTCAGGGGGACCCTGGATGCCCATGGACGCAGGCCCCATGGAGGCTTCGGGTCTCCCGGCCTCGCACCCCTGACCGTGGCAGATGTTAACCGTGTCGGCTTCTTTGTTTGGTGCCTCGGCCCTCGCCTCTGGGCTGTCGGGGCCCACACGGGGGGAGTCTGGGAGAACGCAGGAGTCACCGTCTTGTTCCTCTGCTGCTTCTTCCTGCGTGTCATCATCGTCATCAGGGCTCAGCTTGAAGGTATATTGTTTGGGAACGACGGGCTGGCACGGCACCTCTTCGGGGCTGGAATTGGAGTCCAGGCTGGAAGGAAGTGGGGATGGAGGCTGCACACGGATCACGGGCTCCGGCAGGAGGCCAGAGTCGGGCCCCCGGGGCAGCTGGCTCAGCTCAGGCTCACTCTCCGTGGAGGAGGAGGACGTCTTCCTGCCCTCGGCCTCTTCCTCTGCAGCCGCTGCCACCACCAGCACGGGGCCCTCTGCGCTCTCTGTGGGTCTGCGCCCATCCGTGTCTGCGGGACAGTCTGTCTCGGTCTCGTCGGCCTTGGGCTCCCTCCCAAAGTCCCTCCTCTGCTTTGCCTCCTGCTCCAGCTCCTCAAAGGTCTTGACCTTGGTGACCATCTTGAACATCTCCTCCTCGGGCGTGACCCGCTTCTTGTCCCCATTCTCTGAGTCCTCCTCCTCCGTGCATTCAGGGATGGCGGCTGGTTTGGGGGCACTGGGCTCCGCTGTGGCCTTGGGCGTGACCTCGTAGCTGACTTCCTCGGAGCTGGGGGTGTCGGGGGACAGGGGACTCTTGCCCGAGCTCTCCACCAGAGACGTCTGCTCTAGGCTGTCATCCTCGGCACTGCCGTCAGCATCCCGAAGCAGCCGCGACCGCATGGACGCCACTTCGGACAAGAGCTCAGCCCTGCTGGGGGCGCTGGTAGGGGCGGAGGGTAGCGGAAAGTGGCCGGGAAGTGGACCGCCCCTCGTCCTGGGCTCCACGGGGCTGCTCTCCAGGGAGTCGCGGCACGGTGACTCTCTCAGAGGACTCGGCTCCAGGGAGTCGGGCGTTTTGTGCGAGGAGTTATCTTCCAGCACGGGGCTGGCTTCCAGAGAATCCTTGTGGCTCACGGTGAAGGATTCGTCGGCCCCAGGGCTGAGCACCTCAGTGTCCCGGCTGGGGAGTGCGAGCTCCAAGCCTTGGGGACTGCGGATGGGCCCTGCGGGCTTGGACCCTGTATCCGGCTCTGGTGTCGCAGGGACCCCCGATAGTGCTGCTGGGGAGGGTTGGGTCTCACCTAAGGGGTCGGTGCCAGGGGATTCCTGAGTTTGGGCATCAGCCTGGATGTCAGGGGTGGCGCCCAGAGGCGTGCGTGGACGCTGGTCCTGGGATGCCCCATCATTCGTGACTTGGGGGGCTTCTTGCGCTAAGGATGCCCCTTGGCTGCTGAGGCAATGGCTGCCTTGCGGGGAACACAGGTCTTGGGAAGGAGGGTCTGGGTCCGACCCCTGGGCAGAAGGCAGCTCTGTGTCTGCAGAGACCCCAACACCTGGCTCTGAGCCCGGGGTGACGTCCCGAGGGGCCGAGGGGGGCTCTTTTGCTGGATGGGTCTCCGGGGCCGGCTCGAACTTACCCGAGCCCGGGGTGACATCCTGAGGGGCCGAGAGGGGCTCTTTCGTTGGATGGGTCTCCGGGGCCGGCTCGAACTCACCCGAGCCCGGGGTGACATCCCGAGGGGCCGAGGGGGGCTCTTTTGTTGGATGGGTCTCCGGGGCTGGCTTGAACTCACCGGAGCCCGGGGTGACGTCTCGAGGGGCTGAGGGGGGCTCTTTTGCTGGATGCATCTCTGGGGTCGACTCGAACTCACCCGAGCCCGGGGTGACGTCCCGAGGGGTCGAGGGGGGCTCTTTTGTTGGATGGGTCTCCGGGGCTGGCTTGAACTCATCCGAGCCTGGGATGACGTCTCGAGGGGCCGAGGGGGGCTCTTTCGCTGGATGGGTCTCCGGGGCCGGCTCGAACTCACCCACTTCACCAGTCTCTCCACTCTGCTCTCCGTCGCTTCTCTTGGGCGAGAAGGACAGGCTCTCGGGGCTGGTCTCGGGGGTCTCGGCGAGGCCTTCATGCTTGAAGCTCTCCTCTGAGCTGACCTGGGGTGGAGTCCCCTCCATGAGGCTGCCGCAGGGGGATGCGGCCCCCACTGCCCGCCGCAGGCTCTCGCAGCTGCCCTCCAGGGCGCGGCTCTGTAGGGACAGTGCAGGCAGGAAGTCCTCCCGCCCGTCCTCCAGCGGAAACGTGCCGTCGAAGGGGCTAGTGAGGACCTGGTCCAAGAGCAGCTGCGCTTTCTCTGGCTCTTCACGCAGGCGGAACTGCTGGTACTTGTCGTTGTCCTCCAGCTCCTGCCGGATCACCTCGGAGAAGTCGGTGGACGCCTTCCTGTCTGGACTGATCTGCAGGTCTGCCTCGGCTGGCTCCTCCTCCTCGGCCGGCTTCCCCTGGCGCCCTTCTCCCTCTTGCTGTCCCTCAGCCTCGACGGCCTGGACGGGCGGGGAGACCTGGCGGCCTCCAAGCGTCTTCTCCTTTTCGGTCCCCCACTCTTCTCTCTTCAACCCCAGGGGGGCAGCCCGGACCCCACGTTTGGCTTCTGTGGCCCCGTTGCCCGCAAGTCGCTGGCCGCGTCTGACAGTGGGACTCTCGGTCTTGTGCGTTTCTCTTGGGGCGGGCTGCGGCGGCAAGGGCGCCTTGTCCTTCTCACCCCGTGCCTTGCCCCGGTCCTGGGACGGCTTCTGTTTTGCTGCTTTGTGCTCGAAGAGGCCGGTCTTGTGCTTGGACGGGTCCTGCCCAGACTGGAAAGCCCGCATCAGCTCCCGCACTGACATGGTCTCCTCGATCCGCTCTGTCCTGGACGTGGGGGACACGGGCGGGTGCTTGTCCACCTTCCCAGAGGGGGACACTGGCAGGTGCTTCTGGCCTTTCCCCGTGGTGGTGGACGCGGGGGTCTGCTTCTCAGGTCGTGCGGACAGGGATATGGGCAGGCGCTTCTCCGTCCTGCCGGGCACCGTGGGCGGGTTCTTCTCTGTCCGGGAAGAGGGCGAAAGGGGGACACGTTTGTCTGGCTTGCCTGCAGGGGATCCCGGGGGGTGTCTTTCTGTCTTAGTGGAGGACACGGGAGAATGTCTTTCCGTCTTGGCTGAGGACACGGGGGACTGTCTGTCTGTCTTGGCCGAGGGGGACACGGGTGACTGTTTTTCCGTCTTGACTGAGGATGGGGGGGAGTGCCTTTCCGTCTTGGCTGAGGGGGACATGGGTGACTGTCTGTCCATCTTGGCTGAAGGGGACACGGGTGACTGTCTTTCTGTCTTGGCCGAGGGGGACCCAGGGGACTGTTTCTCCACTTTGTTGGACAGCGATGGAGAGTGCCTCTCGGCTTTTGCCGAGGACAGCGAGGTGTGTCTGTCTGTCTTGGAGGCCGATGAGGACCTTAGCGCCGGGGAGCTGAGCCCGGCAGTCCGGGGAGTCGCCTTCCTGGGCGCCTCCTCTTTGCCCTTGACCCTGACGGGCAGTTTGCTGCTGTGGCCTTTCTGCTCGTCTTCCACGCGCTTCTGCAGGGCCCTGACCTTGTCCTTGATGGAGCCGATGGGGGTCTCCTCCACCAGGGGCGACGTGGCCTTGGCAGAAGGAAGGGGTTCAGGAGGGGCCAGGCCCGGCTCCTCCTCACCCGACTCGTCCGAGCTGCCTTTCTTGGGCCCGGCCTTGGGGACTGCTGGGCTCACACCATCATCCTTGGCCTTGGGTTTCTCTTTTAATTTCCTTCGCAACGGCTTCTTGATGCCCGGGCTGGGTTTTGGCGATTTCTGGGCCTTGGGTGACTCCTCTGGGGTGGATGTTTTCCCTTCTTTCTCAGAGGCCTTGACCCCCACGGTGGCCGGAGTCCCCTTGTCCCCCTTCCTGTCCGTGGTGGCCGTCTCTCGGGCCGTGGTCTGCGGCCTGGCCTTGGAAAGGGCCCCATAGGAGTTCAGGTCTTGGGTCAGGTAGTTGACGAGACCCGTTGAGTCTCTCTGTCCTTTCCCCCTGGGGCCTCTACTGCCCTTGTCTAGCCTGACCTCTACGCACGGGGGCTCAGGGACCTCGACCGGGGCCTGCTGCCTCGCTTCCTCGACCTCCTCATCGCTCACCCACACCCACTCCCCGCTTAGCTCTCCCTCCTCCCGGGGCCCACTGATGCCCCCCTCCCGTGCACACGTGCCGCTCCTCAGGATCTCGTTCACTTTCTCTAAGTCCTCCTTCACCCTCTCCACAATCTCAAAAGGCTCCCCCGGTTCTTCCTCGGTGGCCTTGGCCAGCTCCTTCACTCGGATGGAGCCGCTTCTGTCTGCCACGTCTGTGGTCAAGAGGGCCGTCATCTTGATCAGGTCCTGCTTCATCTCGGACACGTCAGAGAGCAAGTCCGGGCTCGCTAGCACGGGAACTTCATTGACCAGGTGGCTTTTCAGGACAGATGTCTCAGTAGATTCTGTCTCATCGTCTTTGATGAGGATGGAAAAAACATCGAAAGTAAAACGAAAATCAAAAAAGAGATCGGCACATGTCATCAGGACCAAAAGGACACACTTGTCTTTTCCTGGCGTGGTGGGAGGGACTACAAAATGGGCTGGGGATGGTGGATCCATAAGGTCTCAGGAGACGAAAGCAAAGCAAGGCTAAACGGAAAAAATATATAATAATAATAATAATAATAATAATAATAAAGGAAAAAACTTAAAAAGGAAAAAAATGAGCAGGAAATAACTTGCTTAATTTTCTCACTTGTAGCATATCCACACATACGACAAAGCTATAACAAATATTCAACAGAAAGACACACACACCTGCACACACACACTCATACACAAATAGCACACGCCACAACAAGGAACGGACGCAGTGAAATTACACAGAGGTATCTCAAGATTGTTCGGATGTCACAGACCAATGTTGAAAAAAAAATAATAACCATGGAGGAAAAAAAAAGGAAAAAAGCATTAGAAATTGCAGGAAGTTGATTTCCTCTAGGAGAAAGCCAGTCGGAGCAAACTCAGAACACCGTCTACAGATGCTTTTACACTTTTCAATCGCATCAAGATCTGGAATTCGGGAGGTTCAGTTCTTGCCTAGACACAGTGATTGGGTGAAATCAATCTGAATAGCTGCAAACCGGCATTTCATCTAAGGGAAATTCACACCTAACAGTGACGTGGACGGTCTGGTGCTAAGAGGCTCGGTCCTTTCTCGGGAGCCACCTCCTTGTTTGAGACACAGAACGGACAGACCAAGGAGGGGAAGAAAGGAAAACAATGGAAACAATCGTGATCCAACTTAGGGGTGAGTCCAGAGTTAAAAGGTGAGGCATGGCCACTGGGTCAGACAGTCACACGGACACACACACAGTTTATGTAAGCCAAGTTATTTCCATGCAAAGCAAAGGTGGACGCAATGGGCAGGAGAGGCAGTCTCGCGGGACGCGCGGGCAGGAGGATGGTTAGAAATTAGAACGAATAGAGAAAACGTTACTGTGGTGAAGCAAGTCAGTGCCCTAAGGGTCTGGACATAAGAAGCTGTGTCCAGAAGCTTCCAGGCCAAGTCTGAAAGGTAAGAGGGACACTCAGCCAGATTCAGAGATCCTCGTAAAAGACTTGTGAGGACAGGGTCCCTTCACATGAGCACCATGTGAGAGATTGTTTTAGACCTAGATGAAGATTCTCTGATGCCTGTCTCTAAGGGACATTCAGATGTGAGTCTATATGTGAAATCTTTTAAACATCGTATCAGTGTTATGACAATGTAGTGGCGTCTCTGTCTTTTCAAATGATTGCCTCAGATGGAGGGACTGCTTTTCTTTTCTTTCTTTTTTTCCCCTCTTTGTTCGTTTGTTTGCTTTGGTTTGGGGAGCTACACCCAGCTATGCTTGCTCAGGTCTGACTCCTGGCTCTTTGCTCAGGGATCACTCCTGGCAGTGCTTGGGCACTATTGCTTTTTTATTCCTACCAGCTCATTTTCAAGATAAGGGTCATTAAAAAGAATAGAAAAGATATACAGTCATCCCCCAAATAGCAGTCAGCCCCCCAAAAATAAGAGTATAAAACGTAGTCTCTTTTAGAAAAGGGAATTATCAGAGACAATGGTTACTGGACTTAATTGTTGTGTTGTTGTTTTATGGGTACCATACACAGTGGTACTCAGGGCTGACTCCTGGCTCTGCACTCAGCTATCACTCTGAGCAGGCTCATGGGACCATATGGGCTGCCAGGACTGGACCCAGGTCAGCCACATGCAAGGCAAGTGCCCTACTTGTGTACTATTTCTCCAGCCTTGATAATAAGACTTTAAAAAAATATGTGAAAGTGCTTTCTCTTGAGAAAAATCAGTATTTTTTTGAGGAGATAGAGTCTGTAGAATTGCATCTACAACATTATGTTCCAATAATTTCAATCAAAAAAAGATTTGGTGAATTACACAAACCCATAAAATATCCAGAACTTCACCTTTTCTAAATATGAACAAGAATTTAAAATGAGAGAAAGACACTCAGTTAGAAGCATTCTTAATAATTTAGTAATAAAAAGACCAAAAAAAATCCTCAAATCACTGTATATGAGTTAAATGACCATATTAAATATGGTCGGCTTTTCTCCTCCTGGAAATACTACCACTCTGAAACATAGTGAGTTAAGATAAGTCTTAATGTGAAAATCAGAATTTTCTCCCCCTTTAAGCATCTGGGGCATAAAGCAAGAAAGACACCTGTAAAACTCAACTTCTTCCATCCATGAAGCCAAAGAGGCACCAGAAACAGGTCAAGAAACAAAATCATCATTGAAGGGTCCAAAACCAAAAGTCTGAGCTTAGCTCCTTATGGGCTATAAATCCCAGTTCTTGCTGGCCTGAGAAAATGTTCAGGGTTTACATGCTTATTTGAAACTAGCCCTATAACTCTACATTACTGTGTATTCAGCAAATGTACCTGGGAGCTTTTTTGGTTGTTTTTTGGTTTTGGCTTATTGGGTCACACCTGGTGATGCTCAGGGGTTACTCCTACCTCTGCACTCAGGAATTACTCCTGACAGTGCTTGGGGGACCATATGGGACTCCAGGAATCGAACCTGGGTCAGCCGTGTGCAAAGCAAATGCCCTCACTGCTGTCTTGTACCTGGGCGCTTTAAAGTGTGGTGTTCTTACTCGTTTTTGTTTAGGAGAGTTCTACCCAAGTCCGTTGCACTTCACCACAGTAAGAGGTCCATGGGGTGGGATGGGGTGGGCTGGGGGCAGAGGGGAGAGTTAGCTGTGTGGCTGAGAATTCTTTTACAGTATCACTTTTGCTGGCTTGGCCTACAGGAACCATCAACTCTCTACTGAAGTCAGTGCCGTGGATAATCAAAAAGTGATACTGTCAGCTCAGTATTTCACAAAAGAAAAAAAAATCAGATGACAAAGTTATGCTAACAAATGGACAAAACGGTAGGGATTTCTAAACAAGCATACAGCAAGAGCGGGGTTAACAGGGATATCAAAAGAAAGTGAATGCTTAGATGAATAATCATAGCATTTTTTTTTTTTACTGCTAGGTAGCTCACGAATTAGATATCTTTGCAATTTAACTGGCCAAGCTGCTTTTCTGGGTCTACAATTAATGATTAATAAGAATATCAAACTGCAAATTATTACAGTGGTTAGTAAGGCAACTAGCTTGCATCTTAAGTCATGCTTCTCTTTAGGGTAGACAGCTTTCAGACAAACTCGATTCGATTTAAAAATCTTACTTTTTTCTGATGTCATATGGATCTGAAAGAAAACATACATAAATTGAGAGGTTACAAAGCGCACCTTGTCTCACAGCCCCAGGGGTGCTCATAAGCCGCTACTATAATTACACTTGGGCGGGACCTCCCAGGCTAGAGCAGGTAGGTAGGAACTTCTACATTTCTTCCTGACAGTTTTCTGGATTTGTCACCCTAGCTTCCAAAGAACAAGTCTCCTTTTTAACATGTCATTCCTGGGAAGAGAGGGTGCTGGGTGCAGTGGGTGTTAGAAATACAAATTAAGGGCCAAGCAAGGGGAAGAGTGAGGTAGGCATTATGCAATTATGTGTCAATTTAGTTGAGAGGGAAAAAAATTAAAAAAAAAAAGAAGGAAAGAACACATAGCATGCCAGGGTGGGAAAGTTCTTAGAGAAAAATTTCCAGCAACATGACTTATAAGCCTGAAATCCAGACTCCAAAATGAATACTGGAGCAAATGCCTTGAGTAGCTGCTCAAGGTCAGTGATAGATCATGAGTCTTGGAAAGGAAGTCTTGGCACCTGGCTGGTTCCGGAAGCACCTTGCTCTCACGAGAAGGCCTGGCACTGGGGACAGGCACCAAGGTCATGACTGGGATGGGGCAGAGCGAGCCCGGTGGATGGAGAGGGTGACTTCGGTGTCAGAGACGGGTTTCTCAACAGGTGTGGGCTCATGAGATGCTCCAGGAGGACCACAGGGGGAAATCAGGCACATGGGGTGGGGGTGGGGCAGAGCCTGAGATTAAGGGTCGGACCAGTATAATGTGTTGGGGACAGGCAGAGGAAAGAAACAAGGATGGACAAAATACTGGTCCAGATGGCAGGACCATGAGCCCATAATCCCCCGCTCTAATCTCATCGTAATTGGGGAGGTGGGGAGTGAACCCAGGGATTTCTTAGAATAAGTAAGGCCTTGCATTGTCAACAGGCCGGCACAAGGTATGATTACATTTTTCTCATGATATTTTTCTATTTCAAATCTGTCAGAATGGCTTTCTCATAATATATCTAGTATGTCCACATAACTAATAACAATGGCATTCATCTTGCAATGGGAACTAAAAAGGCGAAGAGGGAAGTCTAAGGAATTTTCTCAATTATTTCCTTCATGTCTAGGACAATGTTAAGGCATTTTTTTCGATCTTTAGAAAGGAAAAGGACATATGCTTGTTTCTGAAGCAGACATATGCCAGGTAACCTCTCTCGGCCTCGGTTTCCTCATCTATCACACACACACACACACACACACACACACACACACACACACACACACACACACACCTCGGCATGATTGGGATCAATATCAGAGCTGGTGAGGTCTGTGGAAACCCGAGCGAAAGGCCTGTCTTATAAGACAGGATCAATATCAGTTGGATTCAGCATGATGAAATTTATTATCATCTTACGGATAAACTACATATTCCTTAAACTTTTATGGTCACAGTGGCTCACAAATTTTTCTTTTTAGCACCCCATTAATAAGTGGTAAAAATTACTGAAGAACCTGAAAAAATTTTCATACATAACAAATTAAAGCTGAAAAAAAAATCCGAGAACCCTAGCATAGAGGGGTGTGTAACCCATGGATTAACAGAGTGAAAATATCATATACAATTACCTCTCTGAAGCTTACTAGCACATGGGAGTCCAAAGGCAAATAACATCTCTCTGTACAATTTTAAAATATTAATCAAAGAGGTCTGGACTCTAGGTATCTTTATCCAACTTTGAGAGCTATTAAAATGATGTGTGGGCCTCCCAAGTTATTCAATAAATAAAGAATACTGCACAGACATGCACACACATTACGAACACTAGTTCTCTGAAGCCCATCGACGAGATGAGAAAAGGGAGGCTGAGAGGAGTTACTCTTGAATCCGAGAGTAAGCACACGCTACACACCCCTCCTCGGAACACAGGCCAACCCTGTGCTCTCCTATGCAGTTAATAACTCAAGGACACAGCCATAAACAAGCAAGGATGTCGCCAAATTACCTCTTCTTCCTGTTCTTGGTCTGAGTCTGACTCCTGGACGCCCCCAGATGCCATGCAAGATGGGGAAAAAAAGAGATCAGGAAGAGCAGAGAGAGTTTACAAGGAAAGAAAAGATTAGACACCTTGCAGCCAACATCAACAGGCAGACACAGTCAGCGGACCCCACTTTCCTCCCTAACAGTTTACAGAAGGCGGGCATGGCCACAGGGTTGATTTCAGTGTCCAAATTCATTGGGTCAAGAGATGAAAGAACCCAAGTGGCCAATACGCTAATTGGTCCCACAAGAGACTCAATTCAGATACAAACCCAGGGCAGCTGCTAGGTCACTCCCAAACCTGACATATAATGGACTTGAGGGCCTTGTTCTCTAGGAATGGGGAGAATGTTATCCCAGCCAGCCAGAGGGGCTGAAAATGAAGCCACAACGCGAAGGAAGTAGCTGGTAGACATATTTTACACACTTGTTGTATAATAGACAACAACATAGTAAAGTAGTTCTGATGTATGCATCAAAGTTTTGGCCTCTCTTCTTTTTGGGTTTTGAGTAAGATTCTGGGTCATCAATCATGGTCTGATAGAGTCTGACTTAGAAAGACAAAGCAACACTCAAGGGAATGCTCTCAGCTTCCTAATGTTACAGTCATGAGTCCGGGTCTTTCCCTACTCTCTGGTGGGGTTGCCCATGTGGTACACTTATTTGTGCTTCTTACTGAGCATTCTGCTTGAGTGACAGACATAGGTGGGTAAGGCAAGCCCCAGATTAACTCCACAATGAGAGGAGGCACAGAGTTTACGCCAGTTTGGGATGACATACATTCTTGCAGTAACATGTGAATGATGATATTTATTTTCATTTTTCATCAGCGCAGAAGAATCTGCAGTGCTAGGGAGGAGACTCCAGACTCTATATGACTGAACTCTACTGACACGAGTAGGAGAATACACTGTAGTAGCTACAGCAGAGTTTAGGGAAAATGCTTTGTTTCGTTGTGTCAAGAGGGAGAATTTTAAGTGTCATTCCTCTCTCCATGTCTCTCCTCCCCCTCCCTGTCCTCTAATGCACAAAAATAGGAGAGAGGCAGGTCAAAGTCTAACATAGGAGAGTTATCCTCAACACTTAATTCATTCAGTTGTCTTCTTTGACTTGATCAGAGTCATTGAGAAATGGTGCCTTGGAGAAAGGTTTGAATAAAAAGTCAGTAGACTTGGGTCATACATGAATGGCTTTTTCCCCTTTTTTATAAGGTTTCAAATCTACACCTTGTTAACATGAGCGAAGTCTATATACTCATCATGCTAAAATAGCAGACAACGATTTGATACTCCTAAAAATATCGCAGCTATCCATAAACAGATCACTAATCTAGCAACAAGGTATAATATCATAGAATTACCCTGAATTTAGAAATAATATAATCCACCTGAGCACTGATAGAAATGAGATGTTAACAAAGTCCTACTATTCCAACAGGATCAGTGTGGACACTCAGCATGGTCCCATGGAAAGCACATAAACAACACCGAAGACAAAGCCAATTATTTGCTTTTCAAAAAGGAGTCCGATAAAAGAATCGGTCCAAAAGTTCGGTCTTAAATTCACATTGTTTTCTCTTCCATGTCCAGTAAGTATTTATCAAAGTGCCCCCACCATCAATGAGCACTTAATGTGAAATAAGACCCAGACCCTCTCTTTCCTTTCTGAAGTGGGAAATTGGACATTTGACATTTTGATGGTGAAATGATGGATCAAGTGCCCACAATTGGTGGTTTTGCTCTCAGGAAAGTATCCGAAGATCCAGTGGCCTCCTGCAGGCTTCACCATACCTTTGCGTACACAGGCAGCGTGATGTTCAAGTTGCAGATAGCCTGGTGCACCAGGCCTCTTGTGCACTTGGGCTCCTTCATGAATGACAGTCGTCCGCATGGCTCCTGAGTCGAGTCACGGACCTGGAACAGGAAGCACAGACCTGCTTCACCCCAAACACAGATCTGCCGCGCCCCGCCCTGGCATCTGTTATTTACCTCAGAGACAGGGCAATCAAAAGGACTCAGGGGAAACACAACTATTGATGCCAAGCGTTAGAGGATTCCTTTAGTTCCTTTTCGTCTTTACTTCATTTAGAAAGACTTTTTTTTTTATTAAACAGGCATTCATTTTTTTTTTAAAAGAATGGTAAAATTTATTTGATAGAATTAAATGACATCATTTCAATCCATTTTAGGGTATAATTCAGTGGCTGTGAGAACATTCACAAGATTGTGCTATCATCACTTGCTCTCTGGAACTTTTCACCCTCAATTCTGTACCCATTAATAAACCAACCCCCTACCCAGCCTCTAGAAACCTTTGAAAAATATTCTACTTTTTTTTCTCGATAAATTTGTTTGGGCTGGAGCGATAGCACAGCAGGTAGGGTGTTTGCCTTGCATGCGGCCGACCTGGCTGACCTGAGTTCGATTCCTCCGCCCCACTCGGAGAGCCCGGAAGCTACTGAGAGTATCTCGCCCGCACGGCAAAGCCTGGCAAGCTCCCCATGACATATTCGATATGCCAAACACAGTACCAAATCTCACAATATTACTGGGTCCACTCGAGCAAATCGATGAACAATGGGAGGACAGTGACAGTGAGTGACAGAATTTGTTTATTGTGACATAATCTTATAAGGAGAATAACACAATATGTGCTCCTTTTGGTTAAGTTATTGAAATTAGCCTAATATTTCCAAACTCATTACTGTTGTGAACCAGATCAGAATTTCATTCTTGTCTAAAAAGAAACTGTGCTAAATGCCATAATACAAAACTTATCATTTTAACCATTTTTTAAATGTAGTTGAAAAACTTTAAGTGTGTTCACCCTTTAAACAAACACTACTAACCCCTCAGATTCAGAACCTTTCCATCTCACAAGCTGAGGCCCTGGATCCATTAATCAATAACTCCCAGATTATAGACATAGAAAGATTGCATTCATCTGGGGGATATAAAGTAACAAAGTATGAGATTAATACCCAAGAATAGCTGAGATCAGCACCAGGAGGATTACTCCATAACTTAGAGGCCAGCCGGGTATCCTAGAGGAAAGGGCAGTTCAGATAGAGAAGGGAGCACCAAATAAAGGATGTTTGGAGGATCCTCCCAGGAGGGGAGATGCATGTGGAAAGTAGACTATGGACTGAACATGTTTGCCACTCAATGCCTCTTTTGCAGACCACAACACCCAAAAGGAGAGAGAGAACACAGGGGATTGCCCTGCCACAGAGACAGGGGGGAGGGGGGGATGGGGGTGGGAGGGATATTATCCATGGTGGTGGAAAATGGGCACTGGTGGAGGGATGGGTATCTGATCATTGTATAATTGAATCCAAAGCACAAAAAATTGTAAATCTACAACTTTAAAAAAAATAAAATAAAATAAAGGGGAAAAAAAAAATAACTCCCAGATTTTCCCTCCCCTAATCTACAGGTCCTGCTGGCACTCCATGGTGCCCTGAGTGTGGCCCGGGTAGTCCTTGGCACTGTACCCCCCCAGGCCCGTCCACCAGCTCACTTGGCTGAAAATAGTGGGTAGTGGTTCCTTGACCCCCTAAGTATCACTTAAGAGGACTTCCAGATTATAAAAAATAAAATAAAAATAAAATAAAAAGATTGATTGCTGATGAACAGTTAAGGAAAGAGCAATTTGAAAAGCTGGTGGAAACCATGGAAACCAGCTTCTGTCTCCTGGGGACGGGCATGGGAGCTTCCAGGTGAGAGAAGCAGGAAGCCATGAATGAAATTCCCCACCGAAATTTCCTGCTACAAGAAAGGGCAGGGGTGGCTAGGAAAACAGAGCAGGATGCTTATTTTATTGAAATTTTTTTCTTCCTTTAAATTTCACAAATCTCTCATTCACATGCTTTTTTTCCCCTTTATAACTGGAATCCTGAGGCACAGCCTACGCCCTAACTCGAGTAGATATTCCCCAAAGAGAGACAACAAATTCACTCAAGTTCCTCCATAACGCTTATTGCGTCAACGTGTTTAAGTGTGCGGTGAGTGTTTCTAAGGAACAGATCTGGCTGTTTCACCTCATCCACAGGCTGACACAGTGTCTCAAACTAAAACTCCACTTCAAAAATAAAACGGTTAGTCCTCCAGGACTATCCAATTCTTCTGGCCAAGGCTGAAACATTCCCGGAAGGACTGCAAAGCTCGTATAATGCTTTATTCGCAGGAGTCAAATCCTAGCAACTGACTTTTAGCTGCTTGGACATTTTATCAGGAAACTTCACCCCCACCTCATTACCTTAACGAAGAGAGGAAGTCTGTTTTCTTTGAAGGCAAAAAAACTGAATATATGATGTTGCCCACTCTTGATTAAGGGGACCAGGTTGCCAAAGCAATCCACGTAGATGGGTTTTCCTTCTAACACCTAGAAGAAACAGAGAGAGGCAGCACAGAATTCAACAGCTGCAGTGACTGCTTGCTAAGTACACTGAGACTGGAGGGTCTTGCTGGAATTTTAAGAGGGTTAAGAAATAAGCCCACCTTTATCTTTTTATGTAGGCACTGCAATTTACATAGTTATTCATGACTGGGTTTCAGCAAACAATGTTCCAATAGCAATCCCTTCACCACCATCCACTTCCATCTAACTACGTTCCCGCCTATGGGTCTGCCTCTAGAGACAGGTAGCACTGTAGCACTATCTTCCTTCTGTTCATCGATTTGCTCAAGTGGGCACCAGTAATGTCTCCACTGTGAGACTTGTTGTTACTGTTTTTTGCATATCGAATATGCCACAGGAGCTTGCTAGGCTCTGCCATGCAGGCAGGATACACTCAGTAGCTGACCGGGCTCTGTGAGAAGGATGGAGGAATAGAACCTGGGTTGGCTGCATGCAAGGCAAACGCCCTACCAGCTGTGCTATCGCTCCAGCCCTCAGGGACAGGTATTTTTTTTAAATTTTAGGCACAGTGGTTGACAGTACTGTCACAAAAAGGGTTTGTGACCCCACTCTACTATCTCTCAGCAGTATCTTTAAATTGTTGCTGATATTTCTGTCTGTCTGAAAGAAGAATCTGTCCTGAGCTCTCCCTTCTTACTAGTGACAGGGACCTTCCTGTGCCCAGAGAGAAGGGAGCATTTAATGCTCAAGTTCATTCTTGACTTCCCTATCAAATGATTTCCAGAAGGCAATATTGACTTAAGTACCAGAGCTAACATTCTGACTGGGTAATCCTACATCACATGGAGTCTTGAGTATCCCCGGTCGAAAACTGGTGGAAAATTCTGGCAGAAGGAAGTAATACCAGGGACAGGAGAGATAGTACAGCAGGAAGGGCATTTGCCCTGCATGTGGATGACCAGGGTTCAATCCCTGGCACTGCATATGGCCCTCCAAGTCCCGCCAGGAGTGATCCCTAAACATAGAGCCAGGGCCAAGCTCTGAGCAAAGTCAGGTATGGTCCCAAAGTAAAAAACAAAAAAAAAAAAAAAAAAACAGCAACAAAAAGAAGAGTAATACAGAGGGACTGGAGAGATAGCATGTGTGGAAGTTAAGTTTCTTGCCTCATATGAGGCTGACCAGAGTTCAACTATAGTACTACATATGGTCCCCTGAGTACCCTCAGGAGTGGTCCTTGAGCATAGATCAGTTGTTAGCCCTGACTAAAGCCAGGGTAGCCCAAATCCACCTCACCATCCAAAAAGTAGTGCAGAAAGTACTAGATGGGATGTAGCATTTTCCTGTTTTTAAAGAGGATAGATTACTCGAACTACATTTTTTTACTATTAAAATCTAAAAAGAACAACAAAGAAGGAAAAAATGTCTCATTCTACTATCATTACTTCCATAATTTGAATTTATCCCTAAGTCTTCATTTTTTTTCTTCAAAAAAAAAATCTCTGAAAGGGTCCTTTCACTGGGACTGCTCCTATGGGAAAAAGTCTAGACAGGCTAAAAGTAGCTGACTTTGGATCTAGACCTTCTAACTGATTAAGAGGGTGACTGGTACTTTACCTTTTTACAAAACAAATTCACCACTCACTGTTAAAACATTTTATTGATTTATCAAATGGGGCTATTAAAAATTCATATACATCAGTAAAGGCCTAAATAAAAATCGGTGAAACATTTTTTTTCAATCCGGTACCTCCACATCCCTGCTCCTGGCCACCTCGGCAAAGTTCTCTTGTTGTTCCAGAGTCTTATCCACCTTGTCATCTGTCATGCAGAAACACCTCAATCTGGCTTCAATGGGGTCATGCGATTTTGCAAACACGACGAATTTGGCCATATATGGTACACAGATAATTTCCCTGTACACTTGGGATGCGAAGGTAACAGACTCCTGGATTTGTCGACAATCTATCAGCCAGAACCTAGAAAGTCAAATAAGACGGGTTATCTGCACACTCAAGTCTACCGATAGGAAAAAGAAAACCAGTGCTCCCGGTAGGATCAAAGTGGTTGTTAGAAGCTTCTTGGGAAAAGGAGGAAGGGAGAGGGCTATTGAGAAAATTTAATGGGAAAGGGAGAGAATAACAGGAAGGCAGAAGGGGTGAGGCGAGCAGAGATTAGATCAGGCGTGGAAGATCAACTCTTCAATCTTTTAAATTCTTCCCCAGAGACACTTAGTGTCTTGGATCTTTTGAAACGTGTCTCTGGTGCTTGAGAATCCTTAAGCGGTGCCAACCCATACTGGGCACTGCACCAAGAACCTACTCTTTTGAGTTATTTTCTCCTGCATATTCATTTTACTTCCTGAAACTCCTTGGCTATAACCCACGCAGCTCCCCTCATCTTGCTGTTCATTCCCAAAGACCAAAGACCAAGATCCGCACACCAAGGGGGAAGGAGGTTTGCCTTGCTGTCTACGTCCCCCTCCACCTGACTGGCTCAAAAGCAATTTGGCCATCAAAGCACAAACAACATAAATAAATACCCAGAGGAGGGTATGGAAACAGACATCAGCAAACATGAGAAATTAGCCTTAGAGCATTCGAAGGCTTTTGCACGCATGGGCAAATTCCTCGTAATAGCTCACAAGAACAGAAGTTCTAACTCCTTCTTTGCTCTTCTTTGAGCCACACTCAGCAGTGCTCAGGGGTTACACTCATCTCTGCTGGCTCAGGGGATCCCTGTTGCACTGCGCCTGCTGCATGCAAAGCATAGAAAGCACGCACGCCTGTCTCTCAGGCTGTCTCTGGCCAAGGACAGACCGCTTGTGGTGCACTGGACATGAGCACTTGACTTCTGTATCTTTCATTCATTCATTCATTCATTCATTCATAGGATTACAGACTTTTCTTTTTGGTGATCAAACTCAAATAAAGAAGGAAGGAAGGAAGGAAGGGAGGGAGGGAAGGAGGGAGGGAGGAAGGAAGGGAGGAAGGGAGGGAGGGAAAGAGGAAGGAAGGAAGGAAGGAAGGAAGGAAGGAAGGAAGGAAGGAAGGAGGGAGGCAGGCAAGAAGAAGAGAAAAGGAAAAGAAAAGGAAAAGAAAAGAAAAAAGCAAAGAAAAGAAAGGAAAAGAAAAAAGAAAAGAAAAGCTAGCCCATCACATTGCAGTCTTGGTTGCTTACTTTGTCAGCACAGAAAGAAACCCACACTGACATCCAGTTGGTAGTAACTGACTTATAGCCAATAGTCAGACAGCAATGGTTGGTGGGGAGGTGGGGGTGGATGGGAATTGCTGATACAGTGGCATTTATGGTGTAAGTACCAGACAAAAGCCGAATGAATTCAACCATTAAAAAAATAATAGACTTTGCTTTTATTCCACAACTCCAAAGTATTGCTGAATATAATGTATAACAGAAATCACTGGCTTTGTGCCCAATTTATGATGTCAAGACCCAGCTAAGACTGGCATTGATTCCTTGGTATTTTCCCTTCACAACGTTTGATTCAGTATATTAGTATTATTAGACCTTGAGAATACAACTTGAGTCTTTCTCACCAAGGTCCAACGTTTGGGGTTGATGAGCTAGCCAGGATTAAGGTGCTTGCCTTGTATGTAGCCAACTCTGCTTCTATCCTCAATAGTTGGACCCCCAAGCACTGCCAGGGTCCTGCTTTAAGCAAAGAGCCAGGAGTAAGCCCTGAGGATGGCCAAGTGTGTCCCAGAAAATAAACAAACATGCACACAAACAAAAAGAACAACTGGAGTCTAGAGAGATGACACAGGGGGTAGGGGGTTTGCCTTGCACATAGCTGACCCAGGTTTGATCACCAGTTGCCCATATGGTCCCTTATCCCTGCCATGAGTGACCCCTAAGTGCAGTGCCAGGAGTAAACCCTGAGCATCAGTGGGTGTGGCACAACATACCTCAAAAAGAAAAAAATACACATAACATAAAATTTACCATTGTACCAAAGTATACAACTTAGTGACTCTAAGTACCTTTCAAATATTATGTATCATTCACCACAATCCTTTTCCAGAACATTCTAACACCTCAACCAAAGCTAAAGAATAACTCCCAAATTGCCCTTCACCCCAGCTCCAGTAACCCTCCACTCTACTTTCTGTCTCTATGCCACATGTTCCTTCCGGGTTCTGCAGACATTTACACTCACTCACTGTGTGTTTTTCTGCCTATTTCCTGGCCTATTTCCCTTGTAGGGTATTTCCGGACCGTCCCTACTATCTCTTGTGCCAGTATCCAACTCTCCAGTCTTTCTTCCATCCATTCTACTAGATCTGAGTTCCTGTTTTCTCAATCATTGACGATAGTAACACACTTTTACTCATCCTATTAATAATTTCACTCCCAATGAACTACCAATCATTGGGAGTGAAATTCTTTTTTTTTAAATTTTTATTAGTGAGACATCATGAGGTATAGTTGTAGACTACAAATTTTTGTGTTTTCGTTTCAATTATACAATGATCAAATACCCATCCCTCCACCAGTGCCCATTTCCCACCACTACGGATCCCAGTATCCCTCCCACCTCTGTGGCAGGGCATTCCCTTTTGTTCTCTCTCTCTTATTGGGTGTTGTGGTTTGCAAAAGAGGCAATGGGTGACAATCATGTTTGGTCTATAGTCTACTTTCAGCATGCTTCTGGGAGTGAAATTCTTGATCTGTCCTCTACAGTCATGTCTTGATCTGTCCTCAGCAGTCCACTGTCGAGGACATGGCCATCCCTGCGTTGGCTCTGAATTCGGATGCACTCCCCCATCCTCACTGTTCTCACCTCCCGGGCTCTTCCTGCCTTTGCTTTTCCACTTGGCCCTGTCAGATTCCAGCACACCTCATGAGTCACCTCTCCCCAGACATCCTCTGAGGGCACACCCTGCTCTGAATCCGGTTGGGAGCCTTTGAAGCACTCTGGATTCCCACTTGCCCCAGCATCGTGTGGTGACGCGTGAGGGACACTGGTCACCGATTCACACAAGCCCGGGAACAACAGCTGGTGGTGCTGGAGGCTCCAACCTCTGCAGGCTCTCCCTGCTGCCTCTGCTACTTCCTGTCATCTTCCCTTCCCCCACCCTGAATCTGTCACCACTCTCTGAACTTCATGTTTCTCCTCTAGAAAGTGAACATCACCTCCTGTGTGACTGAAGGCATGAAGGTGCTCTCTCGTCACATTCAATAAATGGGAAAACACTTAGGTACCCACCCAAGAGCAGATGAATGGGAGTAACACTCACGAAACAACCAAGCCCCTGGATTCCTCTGAAAATAAACAGCTCTTCTTTTTTGCTTTTTGGGTCACACACAGCGATGCACTCCTGGCTCTGCACTCAGGAATTATTCCTGGTAGTGCTTGGGGGACTATATGGGATGCTGGGAATCAAACCCGGGTCAGCTGCGTGCAAGGGAAATGCCCTCCCCGCTGAAGCTCCAGTCCCAAGCTTCAGCTTTTCAAAAGACATATGACATCTACCTTCATTTTTTGGATGCCCAGAAGCCACTGAAAAACCAAGTAAGAAATTTAATCATGTCACATACAGTGTTTTTAGGATCACTTTGTTGGGGAAAAGGGGCTCAGTCTGTTTGGTTGACAGCAGGGAATGGAATGTTTCTAAGATCTCTGGAACAGGAAAATAAAACAAAATAGCCCACCTTCCATAGCCATCACCATGCTGACTCAGCCCCTGGCCCTGCTCTACTGATATACAACTAAATCTCTAGGAGAGGCAAGCCAGCCAAGCAACTAAAATTCATGGACACACCAGTCCGGAGCTGAAACATTTGGGGCGTCATTAGCCAAGCAGGGCTCAGTTCTATCACTTCACTAACGGCCCAGACCATAGATTCTGAAGTCTCTGGACCACGTGACTGCATGTGAGGCCATGGGATACTTCCTAATTCCTCAATACCGAAATTCCAGTAGGCACACACCAACTTCGATGGGAAAGGAATCTAAAGTCCAACTAAACAAGGTCCAACTAAACAAAAACTATAACAACAGAAGGCTCAACTAGCAATAAAAAGCTTAGTAAATTCTTAGACAAGGATTTCAGCCTGTGATGAAATAGAAACATTTTCACATTAAAAATCTGGTTTTGCCACAATGAGATACCATCTCACACCTCAGAGACTGGCCCACATTCAAAAGAACAAAAGCAACCGATGCTGGCGTGGATGTGGCGAGAAAGGGACACTCCTTCACTGTTGGTGGGAATGTCCACTGGTTCAGCCCTTCTGGAAAACAGTATGGACGATTCTCAAAAAATTAGAAATTGAGCTCCCATTTGACCCAGCAATACCACTCCTGGGAATATATCCCAGAGAGGCAAAAATGTATAGTCGAAGTGACATCTGCACTTGTTTGTTCATTGCAGCCCTCTTTACAATAGCCAGAAACTGGAAGAAACCTGAATGCCCAAGAACAGATGACTGGTTAAAGAAACTTTGGTACATCTACACAATGGAGTACTATGTAGCTCTTAGAAAAGATGAAGTCATGAAATTTACATACAAGTGGTACAATATGGAAAGTATCATGCTAAGCGAAATGAGTCAGAAAGAGAGGGATAGACATAGAAAGATTGCATTCATCTGGGGGATATAAAGTAACAAAGTATGAGATTAATACCCAAGAATAGCTGAGATCAGCACCAGGAGGATTACTCCATAACTTAGAGGCCAGCCGGGTATCCTAGAGGAAAGGGCTATTCAGATAGAGAAGGGAGCACCAAATAAAGGATGTTTGGAGGATCCTCCCAGGAGGGGAGATGCATGTCGAAAGTAGACTATGGACTGAACATGTTTGCCACTCAATGCCTCTTTTGCAGACCACAACACCCAAAAGGAGAGAGAGAACACAGGGGATTGCCCTGCCACAGAGACGGGGGGATGGGGGGATGGGGGTGGGAGGGATATTATCCATGGTGGTGGAAAATGGGCACTGGTGGAGGGATGGGTATCTGATCATTGTATAATTGAAACCAAAGCACAAAAAATTGTAAATCTACAACTTTAAAAAAAATAAAATAAAATAAAGGGGAAAAAAAAAAAAAGAAATATATTCCTAACAAAAAAAAAAATCTGGTTTTGTTAAACATTTATTGATTTTCATATTGGAGCTTTGATGTCTACGTAATTTCAACTCCAGAAGTGTACAAATAGTTTTTGCTTTTGTCTACATTAAAATAAAAAAATTAAATTAAATTTTTAAAAAAAAACCACTAGATTGGACTAGATAAGTACTTTAAAAAACGACAATCACTTCTTTTTCTTAGATTTAAGGGGGACAGTGGTCCTTTCATTGCTGTGTTATCACGGTCAGCTTGCAAGCAGATGGGATATGAGAAATAAACAGGAATGCAGCCCATACTGAAAGTCAAACCTCCAGCACTGACTTGTAAAGCACGGAAGACACATAAGCAATTGTTTTCTGCGAGGGACAATATCCTAGTGTGTATTCTGGGCCGGGACAGCGTACCTGGCAGACACGTTGGTGGTAAAGGAAACACATTCATTGACAAACGTCAGTGGCGTAGTTCCTGTAATATCTTCCCACTGGGCAGGCGTGGTTCCACCTGAAATAATAGGATTGTGGAAAAAGATCAGGCAAAATGCCAGGCTCCCATGAAATAATGTCTCAGCAGCTCTGATTCTGGATTCTGCAGCGTGATCCCACCCACCCCTCAAAATGACACACCAGAAACAAAATAAGTAAAAGCGAGGGCTAAAAAATTTTTTTTCTAAATGACACTTCAAAATAAACCGTAGTCACCACCTTCCAAAGAACAGAGTTTGAGGGGGTTATCTGAATAGTTGTTCCCATGACTAGGTGTTCTATTCTCTGCCTAATACTCTGAGTTTCTTTATGTTTTTAACTTTGTATTTTTTATTTTTTATGAAAGTTTTAAAAATCATTGAATCACCATGAATTATCACCAAGTCACAAAGTTATTCATGAGTGAATTCCGGGTGTTCAATGTTTCTACACCAATCCCTTCACTGGTGTCTCCTCCACCAGTGTATTCCCTGAGGTTCTAAAGCATGGGATGCAACTGCTAGGCTCTGCAGAGAGTTCTCCTTCAGATAGACTTCACCATCTCAAAGGTCTCTGACCATCCAAACTCCTCGATGGTTTGTTAAAATAACACAAAATCCAACTATTCTTTCATGCTTGGACTTCCTATTTTATACAGTAACTTTTGTATTGTTGTTATCATTATTTGGGGGTGGCACTTGGCAGTTCTCGGGACCTACTCCTGGTCTCACCTCAGGGATCACTCCCGATGGGGCTCAGGGGACCCTGTGTAGTGCCAGGGACCAAACTCAGACTAACCACTTGCAAGGCAAGCACTCTGCCCACTGTGCTATCACTCGGGCCCCAATGACTTTCAAGAAATAAAACTTCCACTCAATTTACAGTTAAAAGTCAGAAAACATAAAGCGTCACTGAAGAGCTCATACAGGGGCCAAGGCACGAGCCTGGCACACAGCTGGTACCAGTTTAATCCTGGGTGCTGTATTGTCCCTGAACACCGAAGGAATGAACCCTCAGCACAGCTCTGGGAGCCACTTCAAAAAAAGATGATAAAGAAGAAATGAAAAAAAAAATTCTAAAAAAACACAACTAGGAAGAGTGATTGTTTCTACTAATAGTATAAACTTTTATGCACCCCCGTGAAGCTCCTGACAAGTAGACAAAGCAGAGTAATATTATGCAACACAAATAATTTATTTCTTAAAGGGACTCTCCCAGTAGTGTGTAGACATCCTCAGCTCACCCCTATGGTATTTGGGGGACCATGTAGTAGTGGGAATCAAACTCAGGGCCTCGTGTGTGCTCAGTATGTGTTCTTCCCCTAGAGCACTTCCTGCCCACTTGTGTGTCTGCTGTTAGCTTCAGACTATTGCTACAGGCAGAAAACCAATGTTCTGGAAAGTCATTCCGTACTTGAGTTTTTGTCTGAAAATGAGTGTAACTAACTGACTTTGTATTCTCCAGTTTTAGTTCGATAATAAGGTCCCAGAATATATCACTAATTTCTACACACGTAAGATCGGTTTGAATTACTGCGTGTACTTTTTCACAATGCCGTATATTTCCCAGCAGGTAAGAGAATGTGTTCAATTCAGGCTTAATATGCAGGCTTTGAGGTATAGAGACTGGCGGTGAATCCCAATTCTGCTGAATTTGTCAATTTACAGAACATCCTTCAACCTTAGGTTCTTTGTTGTAAAATGGAGTTTAGTAGGGTAGCTATAAAGATTGGCATAATTACAGATAGCAAGTATCTAGTAGTCTGCTAAATAGACTCAACTTAGTTTATTTCATAGTTCATTTCCTTTCACCTTTTCCTTGCCAAGTTAATGAGAGGCTTTTCCTAAACAAATACTTATAACCCCATAGGCATCTTATCACAAAGGTAATTGGTTTTCTATTTTAATGTAAAGAAATGCTTTTTCAGCACCAAAGACCAAACCCAAGCCCTATCTCTGGAATAGCACAGAGGTAATTATGGTTAAGTAATTACAATGATCTACATTACAAATCAGAATGATCTACATGTCTCCTTCCAGAAATTTCCACTAACCCAACCCCGGGACTCACCTGTTATGCTGCATAGTAATCTTAGGGTTGGCGCATCTCCCCCGAAGCCGTTCAACATGACATCGCTGGAGGCTTTGGGGACAGGAATGGTCATGGTGATTGGCTTGTGGAACTTTCTCCTTCTCGGTTCCAAAGTGACAATGGGGCTGAAGGTCGCTTTGTTGCCCAGGATCTTCTTAACCAGCTCTGCATGCATGGGCTGGGCCTTGGGGAAGAAAACCCGGAACTCACCAACATGTCCTCCTAGCTCCTGTCCAGTTCCTGACCCAAAGCTTGGCTTCCGGTCTCATTGCTCAGTCCCATGGCTTCCAACACAGTGACTGCCTGTCTCCTGTCAACCCCTCTCACATCTGCACCCGATTTTTGTGTAAGCGCCACCACCACCTGCCTGGCCAGGGCAGGATGAGTCTCTGAGCCATGCGTTTCCTGCCAGCATCACTGACCCAAGCACACATCGGGAACCCTGCCGCCCCACGAGCCTACCTGCAGGCCCACACGGATCCGCTTGGTCAAGGCCCCCTCCGGGAAGACGGCCTGCACCTGGGGCACCACTGTGCTGCTCAGCACACCACCCTCGGGCCCGATCAGATTGCTGTCCTGCTTGATGCGTGACACCACAGCGAAGTACTGTGGGAAGTCGCGCGTGATGATGCGGCAGATCCGCTTCTTCTCCAGGTCTTCGGGGCTATCCAGGACTGAGGCAAGAAAGGAGCTGTTAGGAGTGGGACAAGGGGGCCGGAGCGATAGCACAGTGGGGAGGGCATTTGCTTTGCACGCAGCTGACCCAGGTTCTAAGCCGACCTGAGTTCGATTCCCAGCATCCCATATGGTCCCCCGAGCACCGCCAGGAGTAATTCCTGAGTGCAGAGCCAGGAGTAACCCTTGAGCATCGCCGGGTGTGACCCAAAAAGAAAAAAAAAAGTGTAGGTCAAGAGAGATGTACCTGAAAACCTTTCAGGAGGGGGGGAGAGAGAAAGATTGGGGGCAGAGAGGGAGGAGGAGAAGGGAGAGGGAAAGGGGGAGGGGGAGAAAAGGAGAAGGAAAGAAAGGGGAGGGGGAGAGGGAGTGGGAGTGGAGGGTGGGGGTGATGGGAGGAAACCTGGGGACACTGGTGCTGGGAAATGGACGCTGATGTAGGGATGGGTATTGGAACATTATATAACTGAAACCTAATCATGAACATCCTTGCAAGGGTCTATCTCACAGTGATTCAATCAAAAAAATGTTAAAACAAAAGGAGGCATTTTCACCAAGCAAGGATTCCCTTCTGAAAGCCCTCAAGCTAACACACAGGTGCACAGGGAACAGGAAGCACGGGGTGGGAGGGGGTTTTAGGGCCACGCCCAGTGATGCTCAGGAATCACTCCTGGGGTGCTCGGGCTCCACGTGGGATGCCAGAGACTGAACCCGGGTGGGCCATGTGCCAGGCAAGTCCCCTTCCCAACGGCACGGCCACTCTAGCCCAACAGAAAGAAAACCCACCAAAGCAACAGCATGGTAAGACAGTATCCTCACACGCGAATCCTCATCCCACTGGGAACAGGAGCCCAGGAGGGAAACCAACAGAAGAGAACTCGCGAGTGTCCCCGAGGACCCGGCGCCGAGGGCGGAGGCAGGCGGTACCTTCGTCCATGCCGTTGAGAATCTCGTTGAGCTCGTCCTCCGTGTACTCGCAGTAGTGTTCCTTCCAGCTGTCCCCATTCTCGCTGCGCAGCACCACCAGCTCCCGCTCCTTCCCCCGGAGGGCCGCGAAGTGTGGGATCTCCACGATCACGGGCCTGGCATGGGACCAGAAGCGCCCTGTGCACGGGAGCCGGCCGCTGCCAGCCCCGCCCCTGCACTGTCTGTTGCAAAGTGACCTGGAATTCCTCCCTCTCTGCGGGACGGGAACACGGGGGCCACTCTCCAGCCCCCCTCAACCGGCAGCTGCCCTCCAGCTCGGGGACACCCGTCCTCTGGGACATGCTCCTCTCCGAAGCCAAGTGCTAGTTCCCTGTGAGTGCATGTGGCATTCTGGAACGTCTCCTTTGACCCATGTACATGGGACACATTGACCCCGAGAAGGGATGTGCATGCACATGGGCCACTGTGCCAATCTCCGACGAGGTGCAAAAAAATGACACAATGGTTTGGAAGAGGTAGGGGGGGTGGGAAATGGCTCGCAGGTGGCAAAATTAGATGTTGTAAATGAGATGTTAGAAAACTCCATTGCTCGGGGACTTAAGAGTCATGCACTCAAGGGTTTCTTTGCGGGGAGGGCCATTTTTCTTTTTACTTTTCTTTTTGCTTCTCTTTTCTTCATTCAAAGAAGCAATAGGCATGCTAGCACAGCTGGCTCAGAGGAGGGCCAGACTGTACCCCAGGCCTATTGAAGGCAATCCAGAACATGCATGGGCCCTACTCTGGGCGGGGGCTGGGTGGCATTCTGAGGTGGCAGCCACTGAGCCTGCAGTCACTCTCAGAATCCACAGAGGCTTTTGATGATGCGTCCAGGTTGCTTTGAGACAGACTCCGAATTTATCGCCACGACATCGTCAACTAGCACAGAGCGTACGACTAGGCAGATCTCATGCTCGAACGAAAAGAAAGGTGGACAGCACTTGTGGGGGGAGGGGGCGGGAGGGGGGGGGCAGAGATTGAAAAAAAAATAAAACAAAACATCACTCGAAAAGAAAAGCCACATACCACAGGGATCGGAAATGGTCCACTAGAGAGAGGTCATACAGAATTTAAATCATAGAGAGGGACATGTCACGGGCACAATGACAGAGAGAAATCATATCAGAAGAAGGAGGAGAATGGGAGGGGCCAGCAGCCATCAATTTGTTTTAAGTCGCTCCTACCCAAGGAATTTGGTTCCAGGAGGCCCCAGCTGAAGGATGCGGCTGACCAAACTTTCTCCCTCATTAAGTGGGGGGGGAGCCGTTGGCAGGTGAAGTTTACTGAGTACATCCAAAGCAGCAGTGAAAGAGAGAACATAAGTAAGCTTCAGGTTGGTTTCCACGGAACCCAGCTCCGCAAGGCTGGCCTCGCCTTCACACTGCGCTCAGCTCTGCGCCCTGCCCGGTCTCCGGTGCACAGGGAGTCGAGATCCAGAGCAGACAGAGGGGTCACTGGCCGGGAGGGCCTGGAGGTGGTGCAGAAATCCGGGCATGAGCCAAAAATTTAAAAAAAAAAAAATTTTTTAAAGTGGGAGATTTGTTGAGGGAGAGCTGCTCCGCTGTTGGGAATATCATCAAAACTCTGACTCTGTGTCGCAAGACCAGGTGTTTCTGGGGACATTCTGGGACAGAGTGGCCGGCTGTGGAGAAGACCCAGATGGCCCGGGCATGCGGCTGGGGAAATTGGGCTCTGAAGGCAACCGGATTGCAGGTGTGGAAGGTTGGAGAGCAAGAACTAGGGGATCCTTCTACCCAGCAAGGTGTCTGCTAATGCAACCCAGAGGTTCACAAACTCCTTCCACATTTCTGCTGTCTGCTTGAATGCAGGAGACAGTTTCTGTCTTTGAGAAATAAGGAAAAACGCCCCTTCACGGGCGTGTGCAGGGTTGGAAGCACCCTGCTGGGAGTTCTGCTCCAGAGTGACAAGGCGTTAGGACGTGTCCTGGGTTCAAAAGCCAGAAGTGCCCCCAGCCCCCAAGCACGACAGCGGTGGCACAAGACTTCATGGGTAAGAGAAGTCTCACCCCTCTCAGGAGAACAAAGACTTGCTCCGGCCAGACTTAAAGACAATTGATGGGTTTCAAACTCTCTTGAAACCCGTGTCCCCCTCCAGCACTTCGTCCTTCCGTCAGTTTTCCGAGGTGGCTACTCGGTTCTCAGCAGACAGAGAAACCACCTTCACTAGGACAGTGGTCGTACCCACCAACAGAAGAAAGAAGAAATGCTGATTTCTGCTCAACATTGCTAAAATGAGCGGCACGGAAGTGAGTCTTAATGCCATCATCTTAGGGTCATTCATGACGACATCAACGGCCAGCGGAAACTAAGACTCAGAGTAGCAATTTGATGACAGAAATTTAAAAATTAAAAAAAAAAAGACATAGACTAAATTGGGGGATACATTTTTTTTTTCTTTTTTCATAAAAACCACACCATTTTCCAAAGTGGCAAGAATGATTCTGTTGGGTAACTACGGGAGTATTTCCATGTCTGTTCGGAACACATGAGCATACCACTGATGACGCCTATGAATAATAATAATAATAATAATAATAATAATCATACCTACCATGGGTGGGGGCGGGGAATGGTAAAAATTAGGAACGTGTGGAAAGAAGAGAATCGTAAGGGAACCGAATGTGTGACGCATGAAAGCCGTTGAATCAGAGGCAAAGAAGAGGAATCCAAGCTGGGGTTGTGACTTTGGGTGACAGACAGCCCGCAAAGGCCAGTCCTCCTGCCAAGGGCATCGACGTACCTCTGGGCCTTTGCTCCTGGTGGCCCCCAACCTCGACGGCTAAGGGAAGGCCTCTGGGAAATCCTTACCCAAGGAACTGAGCCCCAGAAGGTCCGACTTCAATCAGGCGACTGGCCAGGCCTTCTCCTTCCACCATGGGGGGCATGGTCGCCAGGCGGTGACGCTTGACCAGCCGGCAGGTGACCCGTGTGGGGGCGGTGCACTTCCGAGGGGGAATGATGATGCGCAGCCCATTGTGCCTGCACCCCCGCATGGCGCCGCCCCGCGCATCCACCATGAAACTAACCAGGAAGCTAAAAACCAAAGCAGAACGTTAGAGGTGTCTGGGAACCGTCGGAGGAAGGAGAGCCAGCTTGCTCGAGTGACGCGGCTTTCCCTGCAATGCTCTGTTCTCAAAACTGTCTCCTGTCTTTCGACGGATGGCATAAAAATTAAAAAAAAAAAAACAATTTAAGTGGAGCCCCTAAAAGTTATTACACTTTACACCGGTGCCTTTATTTCCATTCTGTTGGTTTTTTTAAATTACATATTGGTTGTTATTTTGATCTGTAACTACAGAAGCCTGCTGCTCATTTCTATCAATAAGGGCTATTTGAAATATAAACTGTCAGTTAAACACATATCCAACTGATTTAGAAAGTTGGAATCAAATGAAATCATAAATATTCCAATGAGTCTCTTTTTTTTGTTCAAAATGCAAAGAATTCTATTTCTCCCATATGTGTCCTAGGAAATGCATATTCTGAAACCATGCAAGAGAGAGCATAGGGAAAGATTAAAGATGCAGGTTTTCTAGGTAAACCCAATTTAACTCTCCACATTACAACTTGTACAGCTCATTTTAATTCAATGCTACTGTGTGAAAAACAGCAGGGTTCTCGCTCTCTCTCCCGAGATCAAACATATGTATCATGTCTCCTGTTCCACATCATCTTGTCCAGAATGCAGTGCTACCATTCTAAACAAGGAGGAAAAGTGGAAAAATGAAATGTTTTGGATGGATCCAAGTGAGTGACTGAAATGCACTTTTTCATCTCTTAGCAGGACTCTTAGCCACATCATTCTAACTGAAACCAAGGTGAGGGGGAAGGAAATGTGACACTGAGCCAACAGTACTTTGGGTTTTAAGACGGAGGCTCAGGCTAACGGGGATTCCATGCATTGGGCGCTCCTGCAAAGGGAAGGAAAACCACAGTGAACAGTTTCCAACAGGAAAGGCATCCCTACTCTTCTTGCTCCTTTTTTGCCCAGCTTGTGGTTCAAGCAAAGGAGTCCACGGTGGCCCTGTTTAAGGGGGCCAAGAAAAAAGGGTCTGTCTTCCTTCTAAAGCCGTTTCCTTGGGAAGGGTCTCACCAGATCCTGTCCGGGCTTAATTTGCATTCTGTGTCATTCTGCTAGTCCAAAGACTTGTTAAAGTCTCAGTGGCACCCACTTGGCCAAAGAGCAAAGCCAACTGCCAGCAATCTGAGTGCCATCTGTGACCACGCACACGGAGACACGACAGTTGAGACATCACGATACACATGAATGCCGTCTTTGTCAGCTTCCACAGTCTCTTCAAGCTCTCCACATACAAAGCAGGACATGGAGGGCAACACGGAGCTGTATTATAAGCTACTTGGAGCCTAACCAGCACGGAACCAAACCCGGTCACCACACTCAACGTGACATCCATGAGACGTTCAGAACATTGGAAAGGGTTTCATCAGAGTGAGGGGAGAGAAACGCGATACATTGATGCTATTTTTAGACAAGCAAAAGGGAAAAAAATATCCGTGCACCCTCTTTAGAGCCGAACACAGAAGTCGTTAATGAGCATGCTAAGTTTATTTAAATCCTATTGCTAATAATAAAAATGGGTGCGAGGGAGCCCAGGCGCCTGTGTGAAGCACGTATGAGCACGCCATGCAAGGGGCCCCACGAAGAGGCTTGCGGCATCCCCACCCCATGCAGGAGCCAGCCTCAACCTACCACTCACACCCAGCCTTGAAGCACTAGCCCTCCTGAGCCCAGTACCCAGGTGCTCGTGCTTCTGCTGTTTACCAGAATATGCTGAGAAAACGGGGAGTGCTTTTCTTGGTACTAGTCTTTACGTGGGTTTTGGGGGGATTGTTTTGGGGCGACACCTGGTATGCTTCAGGCTTATTCCTGGCTCTGCGCTCAGGAATTCTTCCGGCAGTGCTCAGGAGACCCTCTGGGGTACCAGAGATTGAACCTAGGTCAGCCTTGTGCAAGGCAAACACCCTACCTGCTGTCCCGTTAAGTGCTCGTAAAATGTTCCTTTCCAACTAACAGACTATGGGAATTCAGGGAATACTTAAAAATATTCCTTTCCAACAAACAGACTATGGGAATTCGGGGAATTCTTTAATATGTTCCTTTCCAAACAGACTAGGGATATTCAGGAAATCCTTAAAAATATTCATTTTCAAACAGACTGTGGCACATGACGAATGAAAGCACACGCCACACTTCAAGATGACTATAAAGGTTATATACTCCTTCCCATTGATTTTTTTTTTTTTGCCTACAAAATTTATGCTGACTTTCAAAAGTACTAAAAGAAAACTAAGCTTCAGCCAGTGCTGCTTACAAACTCACTGCAGTTACTTCTGACTTGCTGATATTTCCTTTGTTATTTTAGGGGGGCCATATCCAGCAGTGCTCAGGACCTACACCTGGCTCGATGTTCGGAGATCATGGTGCTCGAAAACCACGGGCCAGATGTTGGGGAATGCACTGAGGCCGGCCTCAGGCAAAACAAGTGCCTTAATCCCTGTAATCTCTCTCTGATCTTGACTCACAGATGCAAAACAGTATAATGTCTCTGGGAGTTATTTTTTTCATCATTTGGTTTTTATCATCAGTGATGGTGAGCAGGGCCTCAAACTTGTAAAAAAAATTCCATGTGCTTATTATAGATCTTTAATATCAGATATAATTTTGAAGCCTACACACTCATGCTGTATGCTATTGTATTTCTACCATATTTATTCCAAAGATGATTTCTGATCTTCACAAGGTTTGGAGATGGAATAACTCCTGGTGGCACATGTTCTAAAGAGTGAACTGAATAGCTATGTTGCCTGAAACATATTGAACATGTTGACACAGGAGCGATGCAATTTGCATTAATGATGCTGCATGGAGTGTGAGCCACTGGTGGTACACACCTATGTCAGCATATTAAGTGATCACATGTCTATTCACTGTCCTGGCTTTGCGTCATCGCTCTTTGAATTCTCTTTTGTTTTTATCTCTAAAATACCTACCTCTAGCTTCCTCCTCACCTGGTGTCAGATATTATAGAGTCAGGGGCCTTGCAAGCAAGGCAGAGAGGGAGAATGAAGAGAAAATTGATGCTGCCAAATGCTCCCAGTGAAAGCTCTCAGTGGTGCCTCTGCTTCCCTGGGACCCCTGACTTTCCTGGGCCTTGAGAAATGAGTTGCAACCAGACAGAGGTTTCACCTAGGTGTCCAAATGACAGGGACCTTGTTCTCTGTGTCTTAGGAAGAGAGAAGGCTACAGGAAAAGAAAAATGATGAACTCTTTGATCTCTTTAATATAGTCAGAATTATTCAAGTTACTATACATAGAGGTTTGAGCTCATAAAACAGCAAAGTAATGGGTCAGGACCACCCTGAAGTGAAAGAGCCTGTGAGTCATTTACTGGCCCCAAGTGAAATAGCCAACACGTTTGCTCTCTTGATAAGAGATTCTTTTTTAAAATGGAGGCAAGCAAAAAACCAAGCAACTAAGTCTACCAAAAGAAATAATTTTATTAGGAGTGACATCTCTCTGAAGAACGATCAAAGACTGGAAAATTAAAACCACAGAACTGAAGAGCTGAGGGCTGGAGTGCTAGAACAGTGAGAGAGGTTTGCCTCATGTGTGGCTGACCCAGACTAGGTCCCCAGGACCACACCAGGTCTGTGAGCCTTGGAGAAATGACCCCCGAGGCAGAGCTAGGAGGAAGCCCTGAGGCACCTCCTGTGCAGCCCCCAAACAAGCAAAAAATGGAAATACAAGCAGATAGATTTAACTGTGCAAATGTCTATGTGGCATTATAGATCTGGAAAAGAATCTATAGCTAAGGCAAACTGAAAAAATAAGGGGCCAGTATGCATAATTCAGAAAAAGAAAAATAGAAGTAAATAGAAGTAAATAGAAGTAAAACCAAGCCTCTGTATCTGGCTCATATCAGAGGGAATAATTCTCTTTAGTAAAAAAAAAAAAAAAGACGAACAAAAATATTAAGAAAAGAAATGGAAGACTTAAGACAAAAATAAAAGTGCCTCCGCCCCTCCCGGAGAGCCTGGCAAGCTACCGAGAGTATCTCACCCACACGGCAAAGCCTGGCAAGCTACTCGTGACGTATTCAATAGGCCAAACACAGTAACAAGAAGTTTCACAATGGAGATGTTACTGGGCCTGCTCAAGCAAACAGATGAACAACGGGAGGACAGTGCTACAGTGGTATGAATCAAGCAAGAAAACGCTCCAAATCAGTCAGACACAATGGTTGTCAATATAAGATTAAAAAACAAGTTATAAAGCTGAATCTACAGAATGTTAAGGAAGGCTTTAAAACAAAAAGATGTCTTTTCTTCAAACTAAAGGGAGGAGAAGAAATGATAATTCAAATTTATTTCTAAGTGCTGATGAAAAAAAGTCAGTATTCTGGGGGCAGTTGATATCAACAGTGATATAAAGCACCTGCCATAGAGGCAGGCAGGGGTGGGGGTGGGGAATGATGGGAGGGACCCTGGGACACTGGTGCTGGAAAATGTACACTGGTGCAGGGATGGGTGTTGGAACCCTGTATGACTGAAATCCAATCATGAACAGCTTTGTAAGATTCTATCTCACAGTGATTCAATTAAAAAATTTAAAAAAAAAACAGTGATATGCATAGTGTGGAGTGACTGAGGCTCTTGCTTTGCGGGAGGCCAACGCCAGTTTGATCGCAGGCAACTTATCTGGTCCCTCAAGCACTGCCACAAGTGATCTGAGGGCACAGAGTAAGCCCTGACTACAGCCGGGTATGGTCCAGACCCGTCTTCTCCCCTCAAGGGAAAACAGTCAAGATGCTAACAGCTCTCAAAGTTCATAATGTAAAATTAGGCAAATATTTGACAATTTTCACAGGAAAAGATCAGTACCTCAAAAAGTGTCATTCTTTCTCTCAGAAACAGAATTTGCAGGTAGCTATTATATAATAGTTGTACTCTAAAAAACTGGCTGGAGTGATAGCACAGCGAGTAGGGTGCTTGCCTTGCATGGGGCCGACCTGGCCGACCTGAGTTCGATTCCTCTGCCTTTGATTCCTCCACCTCTTTCGCAGAGCCCGGCAAGCTACCGAGAGTATCTCACCCACATGGCAAAGACTGGCAAGCTACCTGTGGCATATTTGATATGCCAAACACAGTAACAACAAGTCTCACGATGTTACTGGGCCCACTCGAGCAAATTTATGGACAACGGGAGTGACAGCGACAGTGACGATGACTCTAAAAAACAATGGCAAAAAGAGTCAAAAGCCAGTGGTGAGAGACCAGGTTATCTTTCGTATCACAGAGGGAAGTGATGGTTGGACCACTTGGGTCACCCACAAGAGCTGATCAGTAAATAAATCCGAGCTCCCGTCATTTCCGGAGACCAAAAATAGGACAAGATAATGTCTGTAAATGTGTGGAGGTGAAAGAAACAGAATGAAGACATGTAATTAAATAGGCGAGAGGAGGAGGTGGATTGTCCGAATCCACGCTGTTTAAGAACTCGAGGGGACCGTGTCCCCACTGTGAGGATGAAATCCCGTGTGGGGACAACACGTAGCATCCAATAAAGGCAGGCTTCAAACCCATCTCCATCCGTGCACCCAGAGATGGCTTTCTATCTACTGGAATGTCTTAAATGTGATCTAATAATCATCCTACAACACCTGAAAGTTAACTGGAAAGTAACAGTATGGAGGACTAACAGTGAGCTCTGAACTTGGCTAAAGTGGTCTAACAGGATGATGAATGGTGACTTCTTTTATTTTAAAAAAATTTTTCTTTTTTGCTCTTTTGGGTCACACCTGGCAATGGTCTGGGGCTATTCCAAGCTCTGGTCTCAGGAATTACTCCCGGTGGTGCTCGGGGAACCACATGGGTTACCGGGAATCCAACCCAGGCCAGCCATATGCATGGCAAACGCCCAACCCACTGTCCTCGGGCTCCGGTCCCAGTGACTCCATTTAAAGGGGAAGTAATAAGATCACAGAACATGGGAGCCAGCAGCAAGCCCCCTGCCCATCTGGGGCTCACCTCTGCCCCCTCTCTGTCTGCTTCGGTCTAGATTTAGTGCTCTACCCTCCAGCGAGTCACCTAACTCCCATCTTGAGGGTTCGGTTTCCTTATCCTTACATGAGACTGACTACGTCCATGACTACAACCACGCGTGATACCTTCTAGTGTCAGGTCTATGTGCCCCGGGCTGGTGACGGGTTCAGAAAGCTCAACCTGTGCACATCAGCTTCTCTGAGCCATTTCCAAACTGCCTATGGAAACTGCTGTTCGTCCCAGAAGCCTTTTATTTTTATTTTTTTGAAAAATTATTAAGACCGTGGAAAAGCAGCTGGGCAGCACATGGACACACATGGGCACTGCACACTGACTTCAGACGGGATGGACAGGAAACACTCGTGGCTGGCACTGTGCCCCTCACTCTCCCAAGGGAGACCCAGCAGTCATGCAAAGGAGAAAGTCTTACAGACATTTTCTAAATTGAGATATCACATTATCACAATTTAAAAAAGAATCAAAGCCCAAGCCGTCCACCGTTATTATGCAGAGGGTTTACCTGCAAACACACAATTTGATTAGCTGAATGGGGTGCATGCCGAACGGGGGGCAGCAATAAGGAAAAAGGTGTTTGGGGGTTACGGCCTCCACCCCCCAAGTTACTAATCCTCGGGGCTGACCATTAATTCATCCAGGACCCCGGGGTGGGGGAAGGGAGCGACGGCCGCATTCAGTTAGTGATTGCGTGGGAGGAGAGGAAACGGTCAGTCATCAGGGTGCTTTAGTGACCACATCCATAGCAAGAGAACCTCAAATTAAGTCCGATTCTGGGGCCCCAGGAAAGAAACCCCACTGCGGGCTCTTTCTCCCTCAGGCTCCCCGACTTTCCTTCCTCAGTTCCCCGGATTGAATAAAAACGGGCGCTCCAAGAAGGTGGCTCCAATTTGTGAAAAATTCATCCCCAATTCTTTATGAATCACCTTCTTCTACGCAGAGAATTGCGAAGACTTTCGTGGGTGTTTCCCAAACACTAAAAAAGGCTGGAGAGGAAAGTTTGCAGAACGAGAAGTGGAAATTGGCTGATCTGCAGACTGACAACATGTAGGAGCATGACGGATGACAGTCTAATAAAAATACTATCATCAGTAGCCTGAAAAGAGCATTAAAAAATGACAACAGAAATCACCTCGAACCGTGGAACCATTTCTAACAGTAATGAAAGCCACTCCACAGCACGCTTTCCAAAGTAGCCAAAGGTTGCATTTACAGCAGCGCAGGCATGAAAATCCACGAATTCAAAACCTCAGGCCAGGCCAGAGTGATACTACAGCGGGGTGGCTATTTGCCTTGCACGCAGCTGACCTGGGATTGATCCATAGCACACTACATCATCCCCTGAGCACTGCCAGGACTAACTTCTATGTACAGAGCCAGGAGTCACCCCTGAGCACCACTGGGTGTGGCCCCCGCAAAAAATTTAAAACAACACCGACAACAATAACAACAACAAAAGAAACTTCTGGCCTTTGGATTACCTAGAATATGGTTCCAATAAAAAATGAAATTTGAGGAAAAAAAAAACCAACTGAACTTATTCAGTGAGTTTTAAACTTACAACCTTTCATATAACTTTAAAATAGCTCTACCAGGGCTGGAGAGATAGCACACCAGGTAGGGCTTTTGCCTTGCAAGCGGCCGACCATGGTTCAATTCCCAGCATCTCATATGGTCCCCCAAGTACCGCCAGGAGTAATTCTTGAGTGCAGAGGCAGAATTAACCCTTGTGCATCGCCAGGTGTGACCCAAAAAGAAAAAAAAAATAGCTCCACCAATTTGTACAATTGCTGGGAATATTACAGTTCTCTGACCATTTTCTCACAAAATAATACAGCTCTATGGCTATTTCTCACTGCAGTATCAGTGAGAGAACCCCATGACAAATATAGGGTTCCACAGGAGTCCCCATTCATTTTGAGACAATCCCACCTAATTTCCCAAAATTTTTTAGAAAAAACAACAAAATTCACCCAACCCAGACCCCTACTTTCTCTGTGCTGTGTAGAATGGCAGAGTTCGGCCCTGTCCTGACTTGAAGACAAGACCAGGCATCTATCTCTTCAGCTAGGTCGTGTCACGCTAAAGCATCCTGAGGCAGGAGCAGTACGGGGGGTGGGGGGGTGGGGGTGGGTAGGAGGGGGCGAGGCAACATGGTCCGGGAAGGAATTATGCAGAGTTTCACCTGCTGTGGTCGCGGTCAAGGCACGGAGAGGCGCGGCTGCAACAGAATAGAAACTTTAGCAAGAGAAGGAACCAATCAGTGAAATACAGAGAAGGAAATCAGAGGTGACTTGACAGTGAAATCCATTACCTACACCTCAATACTGCACTCACGGGGTGCAGGCAAGGGGTGCGGGGCAGGGGGAGCCACAGTTCTAGGGAGATGCCAAGAGCTGGGCCCAGGATGGGGCAATTTGTAGATGAGGGATCTGGATCATTACAAAAATCGCTGGCTTTCGCGCTCTGACTCAGCCCTTGGCTCTGTCTGCCGGGGACAGACCACAGAACGTCTGAGTGTGCTACAGCATCTGGGGTCTGAAGGGCAAAGCTCCACCACTCAGAAGCCTTTCCTCTCTCTTCCATTAGCTCCTGTGATGGTGCTTGTCTGGGTGGCACAAGATGTCAAGCCAACGGAGAAGCACAGCTTCAATGACAACAGAGGCAGAGTAGGTGACGCCAAGTACCTACTTGCTGGGAACAGAAAAGTCAGCCAACAGTCTTACTGCTTTTTCAAGACTTTGGCTCTCTGCTTTGAGGAAATCTTTCTAACCCTACTTCACCGCCCAGCCAATGACTCTGCTTCCACTTCCTGAGCTGGTCCTTCCTTCGAATGTTCCAAATTTTGTCACTGGGTTGACTTGTGTTACCACTACTTGCGGGTATACAAAAAGATACGTGCCTCGTGCACCAGAAGTCCAACCTCACAGATCCATTGTTCCATGCCAACAGCTTTGAATTCTTTATATCTTAAATACCTTTAATGCGTGTTTATTTTTTGTTTGTTTGTTTTTAGTGGATTTGCATTTTAAAGCTGTTTCTGCTGCAAGCCTGCCTGTCTTCAACATTTGTTCATGAGTTAAGTGGTTTAGATCACTGATTTCTAGTGGTTATCAGTCATATCAGGACATCTTTTATGACATCTTATTATCTCGTTCCTACTTTGGACAAACTTGCAGGCTATCGAGAATGTAGCCTGCCCACAGGGCAGAGTCTGGCAAACTCCCCGTGGCATACCAAATATGCCAAATACCAGTAACAATGATGGATCTCATTCTCCTAAAGAGCCTTGAATATAATCTCAGGGTTAGGATGAAAGAGACGTTACTGGGGCCTGCTCGAGGCAACTGACGAATAACAGGATAATGAAATAAAAAAAAATCAGTCATATCTGAAGCTTGACCTCAAGAATTGTTGGTATGATTGACAACTGACATTCAACTGTTAGACATTTTGCTATCATTAAAGAAACTATGAAAATAAAGACCCTTGGGAAAACAGTATTACAAAGAAGTCGCAAAGTCACGATAGTTAGGAGCAGTGCCTTATACCTTCTAATGTATCATGTACTTATGAGATGAATTAGAACTATGCAGTTCAAAATCTTGTCCACTTGTAGGCATGATCACTACTGGGTACTCAAAACAACTATTGAGTAGATTTGTAAGGAGACACCGCAAAGAAGAAGAAAATATTCCCATCCATCTTTCTTTTGTCAATATTGGCTATATCTAGAGGGCAGAATCATTTTAAATACCCAATTTCAATTCTCCTCTGGTCATCAACATCAGTCATTAGACACAGAGGTTGAATGAATTCACTGATGCATCTTACAGTTATGTTTTCTCTTAACCCAAGACCCCTTGATAATAGCAAATGGAGCATTATACACAAAATCACGCACATGTGCATAGAAACACTTAAACTTTGTATTATCCCTGTCACCACACATTCTTATTTTTATTATATTTCTGATAGACATTTAATGCATCATAAAATCCAACTACTTAAGTAAAACTAAAACTCGGTGTCTTAAAAAAAAACAAATGTAAAAAATAATGAGGTGGGAACCTGGCATATGATGAATAAAATTACAAGAAAACATGAGACAGAGTAGGATGGCATATTATTCATACCCATTAATATAGACCCAACAATTGATGCATTTTCAGTGATAATGATCGACCCCTATTAGAGTGACCTAGGAAATCTGTTTATTCAAATACTAGAGTTTTCACACTATAGATGACAGAGTACCTGATAAAATAGTCCAACATCACCATTCTGAGTTGTGCGATACTGTTACCATCATTTAGAGCAACAACGGTCAGCCAGAGGTCATTTGGCCCCTTATGTGTCCTCGAGATACCCAAGAGGAACACAGTGAAAACCACACAAAGTGGGGGCAGGGCAGGAGCAGCTGGCTCCTTAATGCAGCGCTAGTGGGTGGGACAGGGGGACACAGGTGGGGAATAGTGTCCGAAGGAGGTATAGTTTGGGAAAGGCTGAGAGATTTCAAAATACATTTTTCCTAGCTGATCTGCAACTTGTAAGCAATCTGGAGGACGTGCATGGGGACTGTACACCAACATGGCTTTAATTCCTCGAGAGCTAATCCTTACTAGGGAAAAAAAAAAACAAACTCGTTCTTTAAGAAGTACTGGAACTACAACTACGTTCCAGGAGACAAACTGGAACCCTCATCTCACAGACGTGCCGAAAGGAAGGATTTTACCTTGTTGGATTCGGTTCCCTGCTGGATGTCAGGGGTCTGAATCTAACTGGTCTGATGCCAAAGTACAGACTTTGGGGCTGGAACGATAGCACAGTGGGGAGAGTGTTTGCCCTGCACACGGACAAACCCGGGTTCAAGCCCTGGCATTCCATATGTACTCCCGCACACCATCAGGAGTGATTCCTGAGTGCAGAGCCAGGAGTAACCCCTGAGCATCACAGGGTGTGACCCAAAAAGGAAAAAAAAATAGCAAAAATACAGACTTTGGGGATGTGGAGGGACAGTGTCTCCCATGCAGCTAGCTCAGGGGACCCCCGAGTCACTTCCGGGGCTGCTCAACCCAGGACTGTTGGAGTCCAGTCACCGTGGAGATCCTGAGAGGACCACATAGTGCCAGACATCCCCACAGGGACTCTGCATGCCACAGTGTTCCCGTGCCCATGGACCACCTCCCTGGCCCCCAGAGCCCCAGAGCAGCCCCACATTGTCTCTTTGGTGTAAACTGCGTCTTCTAACACCCACAACAATACCCAGGGCTGTTTCTTAAAAACAGACAAGTTCTAGGGCTGGAGCCATAACACAGCGGGTAGGGCATTTGCCTCACATGCGGCTGACCCGGGTTCAATTCCCAGCATCCCATATGGTATATGGTTCCCTGAGCACTGCCAGGAGTAATTCCTGGGTGCACAGCCAGGAATCACCCCTGTGCATCGCCAGGTGTGACCCAAAAGCCAAAAAAAAAAAAAGCAGAAAAACTCCATCTCATCTGCTTGCTTCCCTGCTGCACACAGCGCTGGGCACTGTGGACGTGAGAATAAAAACCAAAGAGAACAGGGAGAAATAAAACCTCTGCCCAAACAGGGCATGTGGATAACCCCATCCCCCCCGAGGAGCAAACATTGACTCCCAGGAGTTCCTCTCCAACAATAAATGTAGCAGGTATTTGAACAACTAGCATCTGCGAGAAACACCAATGCCAGAGCTTCAGATGGAACTGCTGGGGTCAGGATGGGCACCAAGATCTCTCAGAGATAACAAAGTCTCCAACGTCCAGTTCAAGTTGAGAATCATTTACAGTCAGTGACTGTGTTGGAAGTTTCCCCCCAAACTGGTTTATTGGAGAGCAAGATTTTTATTTTATTTTATTTTATATTTTGAATTGATTTTGTTTGGGAAGGGGGTGAGTTAGGGTATGTGGGTCACACCGTGGAGTGCTCAGCTTCTGCTAGAGCTTGGGGCGGACAAGGTGCTGAGGCTCAAACCCACTCTGGCCACTTGAAAGGCAAGCCCCTTACCTGCTGTCCTCTCTCTCCAGCCCTAGAGAACTAGATGCTATTTGATTTTTATTGATTTATTTCTGGCTTTGGGTGCCACTCCTGGCGATGTTCAGGAGTTACCCCTGGCTCTGAGTTCAGGAATTACTCCTGGCAGTGCTCAGGGGACCATATGGGAAGCCAGTGATGGAACCCGGGTCGGCCTACCCTCTGTCCTATTACTCCAGCCCCGAGATCTAGATTTTTAAAGATCCTTATATCTTGAAAGTGAATTGAATGTCTGAGCGCTCTTGATTTATCCTAAGTAAGGAGCTGTGTTTAATTCTGTGGATACTTATTTAATATAAATAAATGTATAAATAAATATTTATTTTGTTGGAGTTTTTTTTGGGGGGGGGTTGGAGTGGCTATGCTCAGGGCTTATCCTGGCTCTGCACTCAGAAAGGGGTCACTCCTGGAAGTGCTCGAGGGACCAATGAGGGATTAAGCTGAGGTCAGCAAGGCAAGCACTTGGACCTCTCCAGCCCCACCTGGCTGACTTTGAAAAGCTGATTGAGAACTGGCTCGATTCTAATCTCCCTTTTTCATCGTGTCTTGATTTCCAGTAGCTGCAAACTAATGGCAAACCGTGAATGACTCAGACCCCAAGAGACACTTTTAGGGCGTGACTTCGTGAAGGAAGCAGGCACTGAATGGGCCTATTGATCTTTGGGGACGGGGCTGTCTAGAGAGCAAATGGTCTGGACCCACTTTTTAAGACGTCAAACAAAGAAGTGAACTGTCAGAACACGCCAGTGCTCCTGGTGAGCGACAACCTGACGCAAGTCCCCTCATTCCTCAGAACAACAGTCGCTTCTCCGTGTGCAACTCAACCCTCCTGCCCGAGGTGTCGGCATTGGTGGCGCTCTCGCTGAGGAGAGGAAGCAGTTGCTTCCCACTTGAAACAAGGGTCGCGGCCCTGTCCTGGCGGTCAGTTCCAGCCTCTGGACAAAGCCCGTTACTTTCACTCTCATCTCTTTTTACCTCTTGGTCTGGACACAGAATATCGATTTACTCACCCCGAGTGAATGGGGCTGGATGACAGAGCCACATTGTCCAAGTTCTCCGTGCCCCAGCTCAGGCGATAAGAATTCCTTTCTGCCTCCTTGGCCAGATTTGATACCTGAACACAAACAATGCTAGATTTAATAAGGCATTCTCTCCTTTCATTAAAGGAAAATATAATGCTACCTTAAAAAGCAGCGTCATTGAAATTTAGGGGCTATCCGGGACTGAAAATTATTTTTTTTACATAAAAGACTGAGACGTTTAAAATATCTCTTTTGTAATATATGCCACCATCTAAATTCTATTACAAAGATCCAATTTATTCAACTCTCTTTGAAGAAAGTAGGTATTTATCTACTTTCCTGTATCTAGTCAGTCCAAATAGGCAAAGCTAAAACTAAAATATTCCATCACAAACTCTTACCTTCTGGGCAACAATTTTTACAGGCAGTGATGTATTTTAACAGGCCATCCATTCCTCTCATACCTCATCTACATCCCATCTCACGTTTTCCTTTCAATAGAGACATTTTGGGGAAAAAACTTGCCTTTTACATATACAGTCTTCAAACAAAAAAGAAATTATTGTAGCAGAAGAAATGAGCAGTTATTTTATATAATAATAGTTTTTTCTGTTATTGTAGAAAAACTCTAACCATTGAAAATTCTAATGGATATTTTTCATGTTTCAAATCTCCTTGTCCTAGCTTGACAATGAATTAAGAGCTTTTCTATTTCAAATCTTTTCTACTTCAAATTACACACTTTCTCAGGACAATTCCAGGATTCAATAATGTGTACACACATACACACACACACACACACACACAAACCCTTCACTCACACACCCATACACATACAACCCTCACTCAAGTGTATACATCTACCCCCTCCCATATCCATGTGCACACACAAATGTCACTTACATACACATGGGTTGCATACCTGTACACATACAAATACACACATACACTCACACAATACACCCTCACCCACACACACGCACACACATGCACACCCCTCAACACATATACACACACATACACCCTCATCACACACACACACATACAGAAACATACATACACAGAGACCTCCCCAAAAAATCAGAGACATTTCCAGCACCTCCTAATATCCGCAGAGCACGCACCCACGCACACACAACATTTTCTTGGGATATTTCCAGGATTCAGAGATGTGAACACATATACACACACAGAGACAGACACAGACACAACACACACACACACACACCCAGGGCAGGCGGGAGCCCCCCTACCTGGTGACTGGGGACTACGACGGTCTCGTCAATCACAGCGCTGTCCCGCAGGTAGGAGGCGTGGCTCAGGGTGTGCGACCTGTCGGAACTGAAGGAGCGGAGGCTGGTGGGTGGGCAGGAGGCCATGGTCACGGACCCCAGCGGAGGAGGGGTGGGAGGATGAAATGAAGAGCCGAGCGGGAGAGGGGAAAAAGCGTGCAATTAGCCAAGGCTGCCACTTCCAGGGACACACAGACCGCCACGGGGTGGGGGCAGGCCCGGCGGGGCGCCGCCCTGCCCGGGCCCAGTGACACCGACTCATCTTTGCCTGGTACCTGCCCCTCTGACACCGGATAGCCCTGCTCTGATTCCTCCAGAAGGGCTGAACCCAGCCGCTGGGGCTCGTGTAGGGGCGGCCTGTCCCAGAAACTCCAAGGGGACGGGCTGCTGACACTGGGGACAAATGTCCTTCCCCTGTGCTGAGGAAACCGCAGGGGGGGGTGGCTGGGGGGACAGAGAGCCACGAGGGAAGGATCGGGGCTGGATTCGTCTCCACGTGGCTCTGCTCTCCAGGGGTCGGTCCCCGTCCCCGCTGTCAGGAGCTGAGACCAGCTGGGTCACCCGCCCCCTGGAGGGGGCAGAGCCTGGGCTGTGCTTCCTGAGGCAGAGACGCTCCTCTGGGTGTCCCAGACACAGCACACACGGCACACGGGGCTACTTCAAAGGACAGCGCTGTGGCCTGGGCACATCCTGGGCGGGGGAGGGAGACAGCAGTTTGTGTGGCGGCCACGAGAGGCAAGCGAACGGGGACCAGGTCTCAGCACCATCCGGGACACACACAGCCACCAGCATGAGAGAGAGAGAGAGAGAGAGAGAGAGAGAGAGAGACAGACAGACAGACAGACAGACAGAGACAGACAAATGGAGAGAGAGGGACGGAGACACAGAGAGATACAGAGGGAGACACACAGAGATAAGAGAGACAGAGAGAGAGACAGAGAGAGAAGAGAGACAGAGAGAGACAGAGGGAGATGGAGAGACACACAGAGAGACACAGAGACAAAAAGACAGAAAGAGACAGAGAGAGACAGAGAGAGATAGAAAGAGAAACACAGAGACACAGAGAAAGACAGAGAGACAGAGACAGATGGAGAAAGAAGGAAGGAGAGACAGAGTCACAGAGGGAGACACACTGAGAGAGGAGTGACAGATAGAGAGACAGAGAGACGAGAGTCAGAGAGAGATAGAGGGAGATGGAGAGACACACAGAGACACAGAGATACAAAGAGACAGAGAGAAAGAGACAGAGATAGAAAGAGAGACACAGAGAAAGACAGAGAGAGACAGAGAGACAGAGAGACAGAGAGCACTGCCTGGAGGCGCAGGGGCACAGCAGGGCTTGGCTTCGAGATGGGATTCAGGCCCTGATCACTGGTCAGACAGTGACTGGTGTGGAGAGACCCAGAAGGTGAGGGGTGAGACGGGACTTTCCGCAGAGATGCAATTTCACTCTCTGGGCATCAGCAATTTATGTGATCAAATGACAGATCTTAAAGGAGTTTCAGTTTTAAATAGGTGGACCCAAAAACGAAGGGTCTGAATTCTAAATATTAGCCCAAAGCCCACATGGGAAGAAGGAGAGAAAGAAAGAGAGAAAGAGAGAAAAGGAAGGAAGGAAGGAAGGAAGGAAGGAAGGAAGGAAGGAAGGAAAGAAGGGAGAAAGAAAGAAAAGAAGCAAGTATATGCAATAATTAGAGAAGCAAACTTCCATTTGCCTTTAGCTAATAGGCATTTGGCCAGTGAAGCTCTGTAGAATTATGGACAAGATGTCAATTTGGCAGATCGGCCAGTAGAAGCCATTTCCATTTTGCAAACAGGCTTGGTTCAATAAGCTAGAGAATGTCATCTTTATTCAAGTCAACGTTGAAAGCTAATTGTTTCTGAGGGGATTCACCACTTGGTGGGCGATTCATCGTCATCCTGTTATCTCTCTCACTCTGTCATTGATGTTAAATATACATTTAAAGCAAAACCCAGTCACCAGGTGTGGGATTGACCTCAGGGTCCCACACATTTTTAAAGCAGGGGCTCTACCGCTTGAACCACACACAGGGGCTCCACAGTGGTGCTTAAAATCCTAAAATAGGTCTCAGGTGCAAGAGAGTAAGTAACACGCATCAAAAAATGGGACAAAGTGACTTACTACTACATGAGACTAAAAAGGAACAAGGAAAAGAAAGAACAGGGTTCATGGGAAGAGCCAAAGGGCTTGAAGGGTCCAAGTTTGGCCCCGCGGAGTAAAATCTCTCTCCACAAAGGATCCTACTCCAGCACACTACCTTCCAGAACTAGAGTGCGACATTTCAGCAATGCTTGCAATTTCTGATTGTTCTCTGTGTCCTGTCACTTTGTACAATCTACTTAAGTGAAATAAATGGAATTAGAATCTAACTGTGAAGTAACTCTCTCTGGAGGACCAGCACAAAAGTCTGGAATAATACAGCCCTCTGCCTCTGAACTGTTTTCCCTGATCGAAGAGCCCAGGAATAAGCAGACATCTTAGAGAAGAGTTGCCTTCTGTCTTTTATCATTAAGTGTGATGCAAACACACACCTGTACAAGTGTAAAGTTTGAATTGCTGTTCAGCTAAGGGATGCACAAAAATGTTTGCTATGGCCTTAAATTAATAGTCCTTCCCCCTTACCCCCCACCCCCCCATAACACAAATGCCTTAGGGACAGTGCAAAAATTTGAAACAAAATGTTAAAAAAAGTAACCATTACTGACTTAGTAAAATGGAATATTTCTTATTCAGTTATGGAGATGATGAATACTATGAAACAAATGAGTCTCTAAATGTTTGGATGGTTTACTTTCATTCACAGAGATTGATGATTCATTGTGACTGGGTATTTTTCACTGAATCTGGGCATTTTAAATGTGTGAATCTTAATAAAAATTAATGGACCAAAAAAACCAACTAGTCAGAACTCAGCTGTGCTGTTGCTCAGCGTCCCATTTTAATTCTTCTTCCTCATTCACAGACCTTTGAAACCTACAAATTCTTTTTCTTCACTAGAGAGAAGTGTTGCTTTATGGCCACAAGGTGGCGCCGTGACGGTCAAATCAGAGCCCTGGCCCATCAGTTAACACACACTGCTTAACGTTTGCCTCTAAGATGTTCTGTTTAATACGCAAAACCCTAATTTGGGAATTAATCCATAATTCTAGCACGTGACCACATACACACGCGCACATATACACGGAGCGGTGAGCAGGAAATGTGGATGTGTCCAGGAAGGATACCTACCTGGGCATGGTACTATGGAAAGCATACCAAACAAAGAAATAATGAGAAGGAGGCATGGTTACTAGAAAAAATAATAATAATAACCACACATTGAGTTGTCTGAGCAAAACTGAAACAAAATGAGCAAAACAAATGAGAAAACCATGAACCTGGGGCTTTCCGGTCATTCTCCCCTGAAGAGTGTGAGCCAATGTTTGGGGGGCCTTCGGCCGATCTGGGGCTGCAGACAGGGTCACCCCTACCCACGCTGCCGGGGGTTTGCCCCATCTGCAGCAGCCGCACCGAACCACAGAGCCCGCCTTTACAGGAAGCCAGCTCCTAAACTCTCAGGAGAAGCACTTGGAGAGAGGGGGCGTGAATCAAATTAAAAGCACGTCTGAAAAGAAACACCTTTTGGTGACGGTAAGGGCACCCGAGAGTATCATGGATTTGGGCAAAGCCATGATAACCACTTCATTTCTGAAATCTGAAGTCTTTTCAAGAACGTTCCATCTATCTATGAGGCAAAATGCAGTTACTAGAAGCTTCACCCCATCACCGGGGGTCTCCCCAACTCACAGTTCTCCCAGCTATCTCCCCCACCAGGACCACCATCTTCCTTAGTCACTGAAGCCAAGGAACCAGCCTCTGCCCTTCCTCTGCATTCCCTCCCCACAAAATCCAGCCCCCAAGTCGAGCAACATGCAGTTCAAGAGACTGGTTGCCACTTCCTGTCTCTCATTCCCCACATGCCCTTGACCACCAAGGCTTGCCATCAAATCCTGTCTTCATTATCGCATGTAACAGCCCCGCAGGATCTTCCCAGATGCAGTGACCACCAGGGTTAGCACTTCGGCAACTCCTTCAAAACCATCCCATGTCGGGGCCAGAAAGATAGTATAGTCAGTAGGGCGCTTGCCATGATTGTGGCCCACCCGGGTTCAATCCCAGGCGGGGACCCCGGAGCACTGACAAAAGTGATTCCTGAGCACAGAGCCGGAAGTAAGCTCTGAACACCGCCCGGGTATGGCTCAAAACGCAAACAAACAAACAACAAAAGAATTCATCCCAGATCTCACTCCCTGAGAAGCCATTCTAGCCCGGTGCGTGGAGCCTGGGTGGTGAACACAGAGGAAACTGAGGCTTCGGAATGAACTAAGCCAAGTTCCATTTAAGACTCGAAAAAAAATATTCTCTATTTGTTTTATTTTATGGGCAACTGGCAAGCCCACCAGACAAATTCTAAAAGTGCTATAACACTGTCACTGTCACTGTCCTCCCGTTGTTCATCGATTTGCTTGAGCGGGCCCAGTAACAGTGTTAGACTTGTTACTGTGTTTGGCATATTGAATACATCACAGGCAGCTTGCCAGGCTCTGCCGTGCGGGCGAGATACCCTCGGTAGCTTGCCAGGCTCTCCGAGAGGGGCGGAGGAATCGAACTCGGGTCGGCCATGTTGGCTGCGTGCAAGGCAAACGCCCTACCGCTGTGCTATCGCTCCAGCTGTAACACTAGATTCTTTAAAACCCCATGATCTGTGTGCTCAAGGGGGAAAAAGAAACAAAACAACTCCCAAAAGTTTGCTTTTGCTCCACTGTCCACTGCAGACAGGTCGCTCTCTCAGGCCAAAGAGCAAAGCCATCACTCGGTTTTACTACACAGTGCTTGCCAAAAACAAGAATCCAATATAAGCATCCCCAGGCCCTCCATGAAACCCGGGGTCCTTCAGCGCCTTTGGGCCCTTCTCGGATTCTGTGCAGATTCTTATTTTGAATGGACAAATCTACTCCCACACTGTTTCCTTTTAAATTAATTTCTTTTTCACTCATCTCGAAAATCAATTTTTGGGGGGGGGGAAGAGTCATACCCGGTGATGCATAGGGGTTCCTCCTGGCTCATGCACTCAAGAATTACTCCTGGCAGTGCTCGGGGGACCATATGGGATGCTGAGAACTGAACCCGGGTCGGCCACGTGTAAGGCAAATGCCCTACCCGCTGCGCTATCAATCCAGCCCCGAAAATCTACTTTTTTGCAGAATCTCTGGCACTCACCACCACCAACCAAAGCACCCGGAGAGTTCTGTAGTGGTCAGTTGGCAAAAATGGCCTAAAGCCAGCTGTCCTCATCTCGGGGGAAAGGTGGTTTCCAACCCCCGATGCAGACACTGGTTCTGCTACTTGCTAGTTGCGCGTGATTTAACACTCGGTCACCAGTGCCCGGAACGTGTCCACTAATCCACACTCACTCAAGAGTGAGTCAGTAGTGTAGCACAGGCCGTGTTCCTGTGTCAATCTCTCCAGCCCTGATGTCCTGCCCCTTTGAGAGGGAGGAGGACACCAGCTGAGAGCATGATGCCCCTGAGTTCTCAGGGATGGGACTAGACTCATTTACTCTAGACTCACTCTGAAAGTGCTCCGTCATCGTCACAGCGCACGTCGCCTGGATTACCTGTCAGAGCGTCCTCCCTCCAAGCTGTAGCGCAGGTAATTCATGCCATCCAGGAACTGGCTGCTGGGCAGGGAGTCGTCCCCCAGCTCCTTGAGGTCCTCGGGCCGCAGGTACTCCCCACAGTCACCTGTCATGGTGTCATCCCCTGGAGCAGGCAGAGATGGGAGGGGCAGGTCACAGGGTGAACATGGGAACTGCAGAGGGTGACAGCGTGGACCCCGCACCCACGCCGTCCCAGTGAATGCTCAGAAACCAACACCGCACATAGCACACGTTTCCCATCCTGCACCCAGGAGGAGAAACGGCCAGGAGGATGGGGCTAGGGGTCTATTTCTGCCTGCTGGACCCACAGAGCAACACCGGCCATCTCCATTCACGGTCTCTGGGGCTGGAGACCATATGCATGGTCTTAACAACCTGTGTCCTATTTTGCCACACTGTGGGCTCGGGCTGCTGTGTGATGGGGTACTCACAGCACCTCCCCACGTGACGGACAACAAGGGAAGCAACATTTGCGGGTCTGAATCTCATGAGATGCACTAAAGCTGCATCCTCAACCAGAAACCAGGAGACGCCAAAGGGGTCCCAGGTAAAAATTGCATCCATGGGGGCCTATGGCGTGAGACGAGGGGACCAGCTTACAGGATAAGGGGGCCACCAAAAGTCAGAAGGGACTACAGCTGGGAGAAGGTGGAAAGCCAATGGGAAAGGGAGGAACGATACACGCTGATCTGAGAATCCCCCAAGAAAGGCCCCGGAGGGAGTGAGCACCCCAAGAAATCCAGCAGGTGGTGGCAGGAAGCTAGTGATTGTGACATCCTCATCAACTATCTGGCACTGATTTGAAAAGCCCTGGCCTCCAGGGAAGGCTGTTCTGCTGGACAGGAGGTGATGGCTTTCTGCAGGGGCAGAGCGGGCAGAGAGTGCCTTATGCCAGGAGGTGGGGCAGGAGGGGAGGGGTGTGAAAGGCTCCCCTTGGACAGCCCAAGTGACCGGGTGCAGTTCCCTGCCTGGGAGCTGGGAAGGAGTGTTTATTCTGGGACTGGAGAGACAGTTCAGCTGGTGGGGCGCTGGCCTTTCACACGTAGACCCAGGTGTGGTCCCCGGCACCCCCTAGGGTCCCCAAGCCCAGCAGGAGTGATCCTTAAGGGCAGAGCTGGGAGTCAGCCTAGAGCACTACAGGCTGTGGTCCCAAAGCCAAAACAAAATCAAACCCAAAGAACGTTTGCTCTGACACACATCCCAGAAACGCTAACTACACAGTCAAGGGCCGGGCGGGATGAAGAGCACAGGGCAGAGAAACTCTGGGAGGGCTTGACAGGCACTAATCACACACATGCAGCCTGACCGTCTGTGTGGGGAAAATGCTGTTTGCAGGGGAAGGGCACAGTCAGAGGAGGGGATGGGGGAGGATGGGGGTAGGGGCCCAATCCCCGTAGGGCTCATGACCAAGCCCAGGGACTGCTGCGGGCCAAGCCTGTGCTCAGCCCACTGAGCTCTGAAGAACACACTGCATTCTTAGAAGGACACACTGTTTCCTTTTCTCTTAAAAAAATTTTTTTTGTCTTTTTCTTTGTCACACCCAGAGATGCTTGGGAGTTACTCCTGGCTCTACACTCAGGAATTACTCCTGGCAGTGCTCGGGGATCATATGGGATGCCTGGGATTGAACCTGGGTTGACTGCATGCAAAGCAAACGCCCTACCTGCTGTACTATCACTCTGGTCCTTGTTTCCATCTCATTAAAAACTCATTCTAAAGCAGTGATGATTTATTGAGAAACACACGTCAGCAGAGGCTGCGAGAGGGACACAGCTCTGAGAATCACTGCTCCTCCCAGTAGGGGACAATCAGGGCCCGAAAGAGAGCAAAGGAAGGGACTGTGACACATGCAGGAAAGCCAGGTCTGATCCTGGATGCCTCATGGTCCCCTGAGCACTATCAGGAATGATGCCTGAGCACTGATCCAGGAGTAGCATCTGAGCACTGTCTGGTGTGGCTCCCCCCACCCAAAAAAAAGGACACAGATGGTATAGTCAAATGCTATAAAATATAATGACCAGATCCAGAAAGACTGACTCATATAAATGGAATTTCCACAAGCCCAGTAAGTACTTTGTCTACACACTGTTATTCCTTAGGAGTTATTTTGGAAACCAAAAAAAAAAATTTTGAATTGATCTAGTTTATGAATCTCAACTGCCTTATAAATTTAAACTTATGAGTAAATGGTTTGCTGACAGTACTGCCCCATGTCCTTTGTGAACTTCTTCCTGGATATATTTTATATTATTAATTGTTCCCTATATACCAAAGCTTGCCCCAGTTCATTTTAAAGGCTACTAATTGCTCCATGGTTGGAAGCCTGCCTCAGGAGCTGGGGAAGAAGGCAGCTGGAATAGAGAAGGGATCACTAAGTCAATGATGGTTGGAGGGATCACTCGGGATGGGAGATGTGTGCTGAAAGTAGATAAAGGACCAAACACAATGGCCTCTCAGTATCTGTATTGCAAACAATAATGCCCACAAGCAGAGCAAGAGTAAGAAGGAAACTGTCTGCCATAGAGGCAGGGGGAAGGTTGAGATCTGAGGGGAGGTGGGAATACTGGGGACATTGGTATAATGTACACTGGTGAAGGGATGGGTGTTCGATCATTGTATGACTGAAACTCAAACATGAAACCTTTGTAACTGTATCTCACAGTGATTCAATTTAAAAAAAAAAACTATATAAAACCCTTTCAAAGGGTAATTTACTCAAGTTCCAGCTACCTTAAGAAAGCCACGCTATAAATTAACTTAAGATACTTTACCACACCTAATATAAGCTTTCATCCAATAGTGTACTGACTGCATTCATTTCAAGCAATGTGTGTTAGTTCATTAGATCATTTAATTGGGTTAATAGCTTTCAAAAAGTAGTTGCAAAATCTGATACTAGTATAAGCAATTCATATCTTTAAGCTTTCAAGTGAATAAAGTCCACACAACTCAATAAACACACACACACACACACACACACCATCCACATTATACATGCCAAAACTCAGATTAGCATTACATGGTTGATTCTACCTAGTTAAGAACAATGAACAGCAAAATCACTTTCACCCCAACGATTTCTCCATGTACCTGAGTCACTAAGCACTTCCTCATCAATATAGCGGTCACCAAACTGTTTAAGGGCTGTTCAACAGACAAGTGAAGGCAACAAAGATGATCCCACAAGATAAGGAGAGAACGCAAAAATATTACATATAAAAAAATTTTTTGCGGGGCTGGAGCGATAGCACAGCAGGTAGGGCATTTGCCTTGCACACGGCCGACCCAGGTTCAATTCCCAGCATCCCATATGGTCCCCCGAGCACTGCCAGGAGTAATTCCTGAGTGCAGAGTGAGGAGATACCCCTGAGCATTGCCAGGTGTGACCCCAAAAACAAAGGGGAAAAAAGAGATTAAAAAGGTGATACCTGGAGAAAATGACTGAATCAGAGTTCTTCCCTTTGTGGAGAGTGGGGTGGAGGCACACCAGGCTGTGCTTGGGGAGCACAGGAGAGCACAGGAGAGCACTCCTGGCAGGCTCAGGAGGAGAACAAAGGGGTTGCTGTGGCTCAAACCAGGGTCACTGTGTGCAAGGCAAGCATGCTAGCCACTGGACTCTCCAGCCCCAGAATGCTCCATTTCTCAAAAGCAAAAGTAAATAGGTTGAAACAATGGTGGGAAACTGACTTTCCAGGAGAATCACCCCCACCTCCTCTACCCCACCCCAATTCCTGCCGTAGGGGCTGGTCCCTGAAAGAGAAACTGTCACTTACCCTCCTCATCAGAAACATCCAGCACTTCCGTCATGGTCTCTGGGACATTCAACTTGTGTTTTTCAGTGATCGTCTGGAAAGATGAGAAAGGAGAGGCCTGAATTAAGGACAAGAGCAAACCAGAGGCCAAGAAGGCTGCTAAGTGGATCACACAGCTGGAAGAATCTCTATCACGTGGATATTTCTGGAAGCCTCTTTCTTCCTAGCCCACAGTGTGCATCCTTCTTTCTGAAGATAAGTGATGGTGCACTCCGGTGCAGTTGTCTAAGAGAAGCTTCCTATCTTGAGTTTCCACTGGAAAAGTCAATTCTTTGTATCTTTAAATCTGGGAACAAGTGGCAACAAAGGTACAAAGGCAACAAAATGGGAGAACTTGAGTTGGGGGAGGGGTCAATGGGGGGTCGGGAGGGGGTGGCTACACTGGTGATGGGGGCAGCCTTGGAATCATATGCATGAGAAACCATCATTGATAGTATTGCAAACCACAGACCCTCAATCAACAAAAATAGATATATATTTTAATGAATCACTGTTGAGACAGTTACAGATTTACAAACCTTCGTGATTATGTTTCAGTAATACAATGGACGGGAGGAGTACCCATCCCTCCACCAGTGCCCATTCTCCACCACTAATGCACCAATGTTCCCGGTATCCCTCCCGCGACCCCCCTCCAACTGCACCCCTCCTCCCCACCTCTATGGCAGGCACATTCCCTCTTTCTCTCTCCTTTTGGATGTTATGGTTTGCAATATATGCTTGGGAAAGAAAAGTAAAATCTGTGGCATACGCAGTCCCTGTGAGAAACCAATGAACGTTCTGAGCGCTTCCCTATAACATGCCAACAAATGCCTCCCAGAAAGCTTCACAAAGGTACAAGGAACATGTGTGAGCTATAAAAGGCAAGTGATGGAAGAGATTGGTGAGCACAGCAGAAGATAAAGCATGTGAGCAGAAGACGGGGTTCTTCTCTTCTTGATTGAGGGGCCAACAGGAGACAGTCGTGATCCTTACGGTGTTCACTGGGCATAAGACTCCAGCTGGCTACTCGTCTGCCTTCCGAAAGAGCACCCGAGTTGCTAAATAAACCCACTCCCCCCCCAGTCCTTGCCTCTGGGGTCAGATTAGGAGACAGGAGGTCCAAATCCTCACCCCATTTACTGTTAGGGGGATTCACAAGGCCCCTTATTTCTCTTGGTCCCGTCTCCTTATATATGAGACAGAGATAACACTACCTCATCAGACACATGACAATGATGAAATAAAAAATAATACATGAAAACTCTAGAAATTGAATTTGATATCAGTACTCCATAAAGACTGTCTAGCCTAATTTACTGTAACATTATTATTGTCATTGTCATTTTATATTATATTTAATCTTTAGAATGAAAAAGAGAAAGAGAGAGAGAAGAAAAGTGTCTGCCATAGAGGCAGGTGGTACGGGGAGGGGGGAGGGGGAGGGGGAGGGAGAGAGGGTAACTGGGGACATTGGTGGTGGGAAATGTTCACTGGTGAAGGGGTGGGTGTTGGAACATTGTAAACCCAATCATGAAAAACTTTGTAACTGTGTATCTCACTGTGGCATAATAAAAAGGTAAAGGCCCTCCCTTGATCCTCGATTTGCTCCAGCGGGCCCAGTAACGTCTCCATTGGAGACTTTGTTGTTACTGTGTCTGGCATATCGAATACGTCACGGGTAGCTTGCCAGGCTCTGCCGTGCGGGCGAGATACTCTGGGTAGCTGGCTGGGCTCTCCGAGAGGGGCGGAGGAATCGAACTCGGGTCGGCCATGTTGGCCCCTTGTAAGGCGAACGCCCTACCCGCTGTGCTATTGCTCCAGCCCGTGGCATAATAAAATAAAATAAAATAAAATGAAAGTGTCTTCCCTGAATGTTCTAGTCATGCAAACGCTCAGGAAGATTCTGAATGTCTATTTTGCTGACGCCAAGGAAACCAGTGACTTAAAGAACAAGCCCCCAAGTCTCATGATTTAAATGCCACCAAGAAACAATTGAATGGCAGACTCACCTACCGGGCGTTCTACCAACACCATATCAAGTGTACCAACTGTTCGTTACTATTAATGATACTTTTAAACAAAACCAGCCTCATGATGAGCAAAACCTACTAAAGCCACAGAAATACAATGAACAGCTTGTGTGTTTGAGCGCTGTTATCTTGAGCCCAGACTTCCTTTAAGGAGGAAAATGACCTTCCCACCCATTTCTTTTCTTTCCACTCACAGCTGAGAGATTCAGATACATTTACAGAAAAGGCCAACAGCTCACTGTGAAAACACACCTGCAGGCACATAAGTCTCACGCTTGAGTGCTCAGAGGGAGAGAGCAGATTGAAACGGGATTTAACTGCATGGCTTCTCGGAGTTCCACTGGCTTAAACACACGCCCCCAGGCTGGGGTGGTACTCTGTAGAGAAGTGTGTGCCTTGCAGGCTTGAGGTCCTGGGTTTGATCCCTGGGCCACCACCCAGCCCCCTAAAAGGCATTTGGATTCTGACCAATCCAGGTACAAATCTAGACTCTGAACCTGTCACTTGGGGCTGATGAGGAGCTGAGGAACGGAGCATCTGCCTTACAGTGTGAGGTTTTGGGTTTGGTCCCACAAACTTTAAAAGCTTCCTTCTCTTCAGTAAGCAGTGCCCTGTCCTTTTTCTGCCACCAGCTCATGTCATCCTCCGAGTTTACCCTTTTGTTCCTTCCCTTCCAGCCGTCCCTTTTCCCTTCTCCTGGTTCCGATGAGGCCGGCTGGAGCTTGCCCCGTCCTTCCCAGGAAAGGCATCTGCGGATCTGTGCTGACTTACTGCCCGTGTTCCAACAGCGGGTACTGACCACTGTCCTCTGCACACACAGCCAGGCTCAGCCTGTCGCCCACCCTCACAGCAATTGTTTCAGTCAGGCTGAAACGCAGAATCTAAACCCCAGGCATGGCTTCTTGAAAATGAATGGAATAAACAGGTCCCCAAAGTGAAAAGTCCCACACCCTCCCTCACACACACACACCCCTTGCAGTGGGTAGGATGTTTGCCTTGCACAAGTCTGAGTTTGAGAAATTTGTTTTGAGAAAAGTAGGGAAACTTTTTTTTTCTTTTTGGGTCACACCCGGCAATGCACAGGGGTTACCCCTGGCTCATGCACTCAGGAATTACTCCTGACAGTGCTCAGGAGATCATATGGGATGCTGGGAATTGAACCCGGATCGAGTGTGTGCAAGGCAAATGTCCTACCCACTGTACTATCACTCCAGCCTGATTTGGGTTCGATCCCCAGCATCCCATATGGTCTCCCAAGCACCGCCAGGAGTAATTCCTGAGTGCAGAGCCAGGAGTAACCCCTGTGCATTGCCGAGTGTGACCCAAAAAGCAAAAAAAAAAAAAAAAAAAAAAAAAGACCTCTGCTCCACATCATGGTGGAAGACATTTCACTTTCTGAGAATCAAGATAGGGAGAAACGCAGTGTTAAGGACGCGCACAAAATCTCGATGAAAACACAGCTGCAAATCAGGGGTGAGTTCAGCTTTTACATACACAGTTTTGTGTGCAAGGCTGACAGAATTCCAAAGTGTCTTCTTGTTTGTTTTTGCCACCAACCTAATACTGCAGAGAAAAACGCATCTGGAGACTCAATACCTGGTGAGTGGACACATGAGAAAAGCTACTATATTGCTTAGTTATCATTTTAATTACATGTGGAAATTCAACACCAATTATAATCTATGTTCTCCATCAGTGCTTCTTTACTCTAGTTTAAAATTAGGAGAGGAAATTTTAAAATATCGTTGCTTGGGTGCCATCATGGACCACTCAGAATTCCTGGGGATAAGACCTAAAGATAAATATTTTTCAAAAGTTCCTCGGAGGCAGGGGGCAGAGTTCCAACAGGTTGGAACACACGCTTTGCATGCAGAAGCCCCGGGGTCCTCCCCCATCATCCTGGGGTCCCTTGAGCACCAGCAAGAGTAAACCCTGAGCACCTCGCCATGAGCAGTCTGAGTACCACCAGACATGGTTCAAAGCTCAAAAGTAAAACTAAAGTTTCCCTGGTGAGTCTACTGAGCAGCTCAATTTGTTTCCTATTTCCTTTCTTTTTTTTTTGCTCTTTGGGTCACACCCAGCGATGCTCAGGGGTTACTCGTGGCTCTGCACTCAGGAATTACTGCTGGCAGTACTTAAGGGTCCATATGGGATGCCGAGGCTCAAATCCAGGTCGGCCAAATGCAAGGCAAACGCCCTACGCATTGTACTATTGCTCCAGCCCTGTTTCCTATTTTTTTAAATTAGGAAAAGCAGATTAACTACAGAAAAACAATAAGCATTTAAAATATTAGAGATAGGACATGGAATGACAGTACGGTGGGTAGGGTGCTTGCCTTGCATATGACTGAGCCAGGATCGATTACTGGCACTGCATATGGTGCCCTAGCCTGCCAGGAGAAAGCCCTGAGCACAGCCAGGCATGGCCCCAAAACCAAAATAAAATAAAATATTAGAGAGAATTTTTTTGTCACACCCCGCAATGCACAGGGGTTACTCCTGTCTCTGCACTCAGGAATTACTCCTGGCGGTGCTCGGGGGACCATATGGGATGCTGGAATTGAATCCAGGTCAGTCGTGTGCGAGGCAAATGCCCTACCCACTGTGCTATTGCTGCAGCCCTGTATGGCAGAGCCTGGCAAGCTACCCATGCCAAAAACAGTAACAATAACAGGTCTCATTCCCCTGACCTTAAAAGAGCCCCCAATACACCACTGGACTACAATAGCATGCAACAGGGATGGATGGAGATGTTACTGGCACCTGCTCAAGCAAATCGATGAACAACTGGACAACAGTGATACAGTGACAGTGATTAGAGAGAGTATTTAAGTCTTTAAGCTAGAAATCGTACTACACTTTTTGGAAATTTCTTATGAAGAATTTAGGTGTAAATAAAATGGTTCAAAAATGGAATGGCTGGGGCTGGAGCAATAGCACAGCAGGGAGGATGTTTGCCTTGAACGTGGCTGAGCCAGGTTCAATTCGCAGCATCCCATCTGGTCCCTCAAGCACCACCAGG